CATTAGTATAATTGTCATGTATACTCTCAGTCTCTATTAAAATATTAAATCAATTCTTGTCTGAAGCTGTTGTACATAGGTGCTACTATATTTTTATAAATGTATCTTGAAGAGAAAGTGTCAACACTTCGTTTGTTTAGTGTATAATCTGACAAAGAAAGAGATGATTGCAAAGCATTGTACCGTAGCAAGAAGTACCAGTAATAAATCAAGTTACGAGGCACTTGAAAAAGAAAAAAAGACCCAAATATAAAAAATAACAATCTCCTAGTAAGAATCAACAATGTACAGTAGTGTTAGTTGTTAAACGGTAAGTGGGCAAAATTTTAATATGGATAAAGAGAAAAATACAATCATTCAAAAGGTATACAGAAACTTATCCGGTTTATTTTAATCGTGTTCAATTTAACATACTCTTTCCGTACTTCACATTACTGTAGTCAGCTTTAGATCAAAGTTATTGAGTATTTCCAATTTTACAGTCAAAAGCCAAAACAAAAATAATAAATGAAAACAGCAACAGGAAATTGTTGACAATTCCCTGAGCTGTCAGCAAGTTCTTTGTACGATAGTTTTGTCTTGTTAAATTTAATTATCCGTTTTTTTTGCTATAATTTAAGTTAACTTGGTTAGCCTAGTTATCTTGTCGATTGAGAGAACCTCTAAAAAAAGTTTTCAATAGAACGAAGCAATTAATAATACCCTGTAGGAGGTTAACAAACTTCAATACCAAATGAAGTTGGCAACAAGATATTTAAAATTTTTTCTTCATTGCCTATTGATATCTCTCTGCACTTTGGCTGCATTTCTAAGTCGATTTCTTTTTCCCATTGCTTACTGCTTTTATTGTATTGTCTGGTTCTGTCCGATAATGTCTTGCACTGTACTTTTTTCTGATAATGATGTTTTTTGTTCATCGTAATGGCTATCAAAGATTTTGAATATTAATCACCCAACTATCTGTATAATTACCGTATAAGTGACATACACATACCTACACCCTCCACCTCCTCTCTTGACCCCCCATACTCAATACCTTAAGTTACAATCAATTTCCAACTTTCGAATTTCCATTTTTCAACCTTATTGGTAAATGCTGGGAATCAACATCATTGATTGATTTTTTTTGCTTTGTACCTGGTTTTCTTTTATGTTTGACAATTACGATTACACTAACACTATTACATTTCCCACTTTTTGTCTACCGGTTTTCCTTATAGGTTGTCTCATTTCTACTTTCATCTATCCATCTACCTATCACATAGTGTTTTCTCTCTTTCTCCCTCAGTTCTTTCTTAAAAGTAGTGATACCTTCTTGTTTGAGTTCTATTCGAAGCCCAAACAAACTCACGCCCACCTCAAGTTCTGGTTCAAGTACCAGTTCTAGCTCTAGCTCTAGCTCTAGTTCTAGTTCTAGTTCTAGTTCTAGTTCTAGTTCTAGTTCTAGTTCTAGTTCTGGTTCTTCTCCCTCATCCTAATAGGTAAAATAAAATACATATATCTATAATTTCTTTTGAGTATTTCAGTTAATTCCAAGAATCACCTCTACAAAACTTTTGCTTTTTCCATTTTGCTTACCAAGTGAGAATTTTTCTATTATTAGTCGATTCAATTTGTTTAATTGTTTATAATTCTCTACCAGGTTTCCTTTTACATCATTGGGTTATTATTGTATACTCAAGTTCAAGTTCATGTATGATTTAGCTTGGATACTATTACCACTACGACTAACGTTACTCACCGTAACACTAGCTTTTTACAAGAAAAAATAACTTAGTAAAAAAAGAGCCCATCATTTCCATCATCAATCGATATCTATATGGTTACTTTGTTTAATTTCCTTTTACCTCATCATTTAATCAATCAATCAATCTTAACTATTGTCTCTTCTGTCAGTCTCTCTGTCGATAGTCCATGTATTAAGTTTCATTCAACCATTACTTCATATATTTTTCCGTTTCGTCACCTCTTTTCTTTTCTGTGATTACAAACAAACCTTCTAGGTTAAATTACTTATTAATTTGATCCAAATTTTTTTCTTGTCTACAAACCTTCTTGATTATACCAACCAATCTTTCACACACACATATATATATGTATATACTCAAACGTATTTATGTTGAATTTACTTGAAATCATATTCAATTATATTCTATCTTGTACCTAATGAATCTTTGATATCTTTTCATAAATTATTGGAGCTTTTTTGTATACCATTGTTTAAAAAAAAGCATCAATACTACTTAATACCACTTCTCCTGCTATTGTTAAATTTTATTTAATCTGTTAATAATTATTTTGATTTTACAGATACCTTTGTCGTTTGACTTAATAACATTTTTATTTTTTCATACTACTAAAATCTGTGTCCACCATTTGACTACGACTTTTGGTGTATTAATAGGCAAATAAAAAATAGATTGTTAACAAAAGGGTAATAGAATCTATTAAACCATCTGTTTCTTCCAAGTTATTAATTAATTATAATTTCAAGAGAAGTGATATACATACCCTGTTCAATAGAATTTCATTACTATTTGTAAGCTTTTTTTATTTGAAAAAAGAAAAGAAAAATAATATATTATATGTTGGTAAATAAATCATCCCAATATTTTATTTAAATTCAAATTATCATTCGTATTATTATTTTTGAATAATCTATTCTTCCTTTTTTTTTGTCATTTATTTTAGTTACCACATCACTATCCTTTGTCACGTTGCAATTATTTATTTTACCAAAGTTTTAGTTGAAAAATTATGGCATTATCAAATATAAATAATAGTTCAACAAATTTCAGGGTTTCAAAACCTTCTGCTAGTATTTCAGGAAATGGTACTACTCACAAGATTAGAGAACAATTGAACTTTAAAGATGATAAAAAATGGAAACAATTTTCGAGTAGAAGACTTGAATTAATTGATAGATTCGGTTTATCAAATAAAAAAGCAAGCGAGCAGGATTATAATATAAAACAAATAGCTACTATTTTAAGAACAGAATTTAATTATCCAGTTTCTTCTGCCTCTGAATTTGAAAAATTAGTCACTGCTGCTGTTCAATCAGTTAGAAGAAATAGAAAACGTTCAAAGAAGAAGTTCCCTACAAACCATCAACAAAACCCATCTTCGTCAAATTCATCAACTAGTTTAGAATCTTCAACAACTCCATCTGATGATGATCATAGTAGTAATAGAATTATGTCCCCTCTACCTACTCCCACCCCAAGCCTAACTCCCGTTTTAACCCCTATGCATTCAAATATTACTCCAGCCCTACCAAACTCATCAAAACCTTTTCAGCTCCCTTCAATTCAACCAAAATCAACTACAATGTCTACTTCAAATTCTGTTTCTTCAATTATTGGATCTCAAACTTTAGAATCTAATAATAAATTTCAACCAAAACCACTAATTACTACCACATCTGCTAACAGCCAATCGTATAATGATATTATAAAGTCAATCATTTTCGATATAGTCAACAATACTATTCCTCTAACGGAACAGTCTAAAAATGATAACTCAAATGCTCCAAATTTAACAGATTTTGCTTTGTCAACACAAGATCATCATTTACTATCATTAGGTCTGCATAAGACTCAATCTCAATCTCATCCCCAATCACAACCTCAATCTAAATCTCAATCATTCGAAAACAGTTCTACAAATTCCGATAAAGATCTACCATTTTTCCTAAGAGAAAAAGTATTATTGCATATTCAGCGTTCAAGAACTTGTTCAGAAATTGCTTCATCTCAAGGTTCTATTGAACTATACACCAATCTAGAACTATTAGGTGAAATGTCAATAAAATCATCAGTTTCATTTGTAGTCGAAAGATTTTTTTCAAATCTACTACCCTCATCGATGGAATATATTACTTTGAAAACTATGTCTTCAGAATCATTGTCAATGCTATCTGTAAAATTATTTAACAGCGCAACAAATAAAGATTTATTAAAGTTACCTGCTGACAATGTCCAACTAAAGGTTTTATATCTGTTATTAGGTGGTATTGTTAAGGATTTTGGATTTGATCCAGTTTTATACCCATTAAGTGAAATTATTCATCACAATATAATGAAAAATTATCCATTGGTTACAAAAGAAGGGTCTAATTATACCACAAGTGATCAAACGGCTTCCCAAAGAACTGTATTATTATCTACTACATCTATGAAACCACAAATTGCAAACCAAGATGTCAATCGGAAAATAATTATAAAATTCCAAGAACGTCAACAATTATTTACTTTCCCATTATTAAGTAATGGCACTCCTACTGTATCCGAGATTTTGGAGAACTGTAAGTCTCTTTTTAATATTGTTTTAGCAACTGATCGTTTGGGAATTTACCACAATAACTTATTGATAGTAGAGGATAATGACTTAGTGAAGTTATTTAACACATTCCCTACTACAAATGAGATTGTTCTAGAAGTTAAGGAAAAAGATTCACAGTCATCTCCAAATGTCTCGAAGCCAGTTTTAAAAGTCGAATACGATTCAAATCCTGCAATTACTTCACCAATAGGACAAAACACTCCATTGGATGGTTTAAGTATGTTAAGTGCGGTATCATTACAAATTAATAAGGATGATCAGAATTCCTTGTCTACCTCATCGACTTCGTCTGTTTCGACAACTCAAAATGTTAATCAAACTAGCAGCATTTCGAAGCTTGATAATATAATTAGTAGAATGTCAAATTCTCCAGTTATCAATCCTTCGAACAAGCCGGTTGTAAAAAGCTCATTTCAAAATGGCTTACCTCAACCAATTTTCCAGCCATTATTGTAATACTAATTTTCACGATTAATCTGCCCTTTTTAGCATATGTTTGTTTTCAGCTTTGAAAACAAACATGAACATAATGAATTAATGATTCTATGATATATTTTTGTAATAAGTTATTTAATAATTATTTATATCTAAATATTTCTGAACTGTAGTCATTGATTTTGTATAATATCAATATTTAATAGAATTATTCTTTGTGATAAGTGTCGTATCTACTTTTATGTATTTCAATATAATTATTTAATGGTGGTCTATCTATTTCTTATTTTCATTTTAACAATATCTTTTTTTTAGTAAATTATTAATGCAAATGTTACAAATATTAAAGATACATAAGTATTTTAAGGATATATTATTCATTATCATTATCATTATCATTATCATTGTCGGTTGTTGATTTTTTATCTTCATTGACTTTATTCTCTATATCTGAAGTCACTGTCGAAGCTACATCCTTTGATTCACTTTGTTCCTCTTCATCTTTGTCGTTACTATTACTAGAAGAATAAGGAACATATGGATCAGTATAGGGTGGTAGCTCCATTAATTTTAATTTATAACCAAATGAATACTCTTCATCTGATAATGACTTTATGCATAAATCATAAAATTCTTTGTCATGAAAACCAATTATTGCCTTATATATAGTTCCATTCATGTATTTAATAGTAATTTTGTCATCATCGTCATCGATAGGTTTCAACTTTACTTTAGCTAATTCTTCATGATCTTCATATACACCGACATAGAATTCTCTAGTATTATTTGAAGAAGCATTGGGAGAAAGTTCATTCAATACTACGGAAAGTTCTTCATTAAACATTGGTGAATTTTTAGAGATTATATTTTCTTCAGAATTTAATAATTTAAGACATTTTAATTTTATAAAATCTTTGAGTACTGTCCATCTTAATCTACAATATTTTTCAATTTGTTTAGTCTCTATACAAAGAGATATCGAATCTAGCTTTTCTTTTGGAATATCATCCTCTTTTAATTCAGTGTCTGGCTGTAAATAAGGTGGGAAATTTGTCAATTGAAATTGCCACATTCCTCTATTTGTCATTTGTCTTCTAAAGCTTCTTTCATTAAATATCTGTCTTAATTTTTTTTTATTATTATTTGATTGATTTGTAGATTTATTTGAAATATCTAGATCAGATATTACTGCCGCTGTTTCGTTAACTAATTTCAGAATAGAGTCTCTTTTTCTTTTATTCAAAGGTAAATTACTTGTGTCTACACTTTCATTTGGTTCTGATGGCATAAATGTTTTTTGATGATATTGTTTTCTTGACAGAGTTGGTGCTGGCATCCCAAACATTGGTGCCATTGGAGGTGGCATCATTGGAGGAATGAAATTCATCATATTTTTATGCATTAAAAAATTATTAGGTTGTGCATTGTTGATTGATAATGTTCCAGGTGAAGAATGTTTTTGAGTATTAAATTTGTGACCAGGAGAAATATGCATATTTTGGGCAGAATGTGGATGAGGATGGGGATGTGGATGAGGTTGAGATGGAGGGTTCATGATATTTGGGTTCATTAGATGAGGTTGAATTTGAGATTGATTTGGATATACCGAATTGTATTCTAAAGGAGATAAAATATAAGCAAATAAATTATAATAATCCCATTGATAAGTGTTCAAAGTGAAGATTAAATGATTTAATTGGTCATTATCCAAATTATGTTTTAAAGTGACAATACAACTTTGAAATGTCACAAATGGTGGAACAATTGAAGTTAAAGGGGGCAATAACTTAATTTGTAATACATTTGAGTGATGAATAATTCCACCGATAAGGTATTTTATTTGTTTCCAAGTTTTACCTGGAGGTAAATTATCAATTTTTATTGCGGTAACGTCTGATAATTTTAAATTATTTGGATTCATTAAATTCATAGATACTTCTTCATTATGTGTAATGTTAGTAGAATCATTAGGGAAAACAATTAATTCATTTTGACTATCATTTTTATTGATATTGCCAATACCATTTGTCGGATTTTTTGTCATCATTATTTGTAATAAGCGTGGAATCGACACTTAAATGTGTAATTTAGTGAAGTAAATTCAAAAACAAAATAAAATAAAAAGAGATAAATAAGTAAATTTACCAAAATCAAACAACAACTAACAGCTGATAATAAGTATTTTTAATAAATGAATAGTAATAATATTATTAAAATTCGAGTGAACAAATTAATTTGTTGGCAATGACAGTTCGACTTGTAAAAAAAAAAATTAATTATTATAATAAAACCTGAATAGTTTTTCTATTACAACTATTGGTAACAGTAGTTAAGTCTTTTTTTTTTAAAAAATATCAATAAAACCTTAAGTTATAGTTTCAACAATAAAATTATTACTCTCTCACTAGTATGATAACAAAAATCCAATATTATATATATTCTTCCTTAATGAATGAATACCGCAAAATATAATTGATTTATTGAATCAAAAGGCTTTTAATAGACAAAGACAAAGACAAAGACAAAGACAAAGGCAAAGACAAGGGCAAAAAAAAACAGTACCAAATCAAACCAAGATAACCCAAATTATATCAAATTAAATTAAAAATAAAACAGNATTATAAATATATTTATTTATATATTAGGATAAATATATATGGGTAAATGAGTATAAGTTATCCCATCTGGTTGGCTGTATTTTAGTTTTGATCTCTTGCAGCTGTAGTTAACAGTTAACCATGCCTTTGTTTTAAATTTTTAAATATTACTATCCGCTATATAAATACTACGTCTCTCTTTTGAAAATGCATCGCCATCTACCACTTCAATATCAAAAACTTTTTTCACACAAACCCATACCATAATTTGTGCTTTCTTTAATCCTCGAATTTAATCATAAAATATGTCATAATCATAAATCAGATTAAATTAGACATGGTGGTTATCTGCAACAATAAATGGTTTGAAATTAATCGCAATGACATCAATTAATTTTGAAACCTCTTTGGTTTTTTTTTTGCTTGTTCCGTAGTTGTTAGGTGTATATGTTATGTTATCCTTGGGTCTCTTTCATTTTCCTTTCTTTCTTTCACCTTTTTTTCTTAGAGAAGAAGAAAGAGTAAGTAAAATAAAGAGAAAGAACAAGAAAAAGAGTAGAAAAAAGAGCAAGAGAAAACAGAATTTTTTTTCAAATCAACGTGATGGGAACAAGAGAACACCATAATAATACTTATTTGTCGATTCACTCATGTATTCATTCATTATATGACAAAGACACTTAAATTAACTTAATTCAACTCAACATCAATTTCTATTCCGCTTCTTGTATTAGTGTCCCCTTTTATTGACGCTACCATGAGCATCGACAACGTCTGCCTACTGGTTTAAGTTGTATTTTCGAAGGTTTCAGTTAAACATTTCGAATTTAGGATTTCGAATTTCCAATTGAGGTAAGTACATTCCAAAACAAAAAGGATAAATTGTTCCTTTAAAACAAATCAAAGTGGAAAATTTTTTTTTTAAATGAAAAGTAATACAGTACTTTACCTAAAATGATGGAAATGATTTATTTTGTTCGTTTGATTGGATTGATTGACTTCCAACTGGTACCTCTAGGTCATCATCATCTTGCTTATTTTTTTTTTAGTAAAAGACAATATCTAATTTATATTTAATTTTTGTTTTTTAGTTATTTAGTTAATTATACAAGTAAATTATTTCTATGTCAAGCTACACATATCTATACATCCTAACTAAATATACATTAATGTAAAAAATATATGTGTAATAATGATACAAAAATAAATTAAAACAAACACATAAGGCAATTCAATTATTGATAAAATAAAGAAGAGTTTTATTAATATTAGTATTATTATCATAATTATATAACTATAATTAATCAATTAATTAATAGTTATATTGGGGCCCATTTCTTCTTCTACCACCGTTATTACGTTGATAACCTCTTGAATTTGAAAACCCACGGTTTCTATTGTCATTATTATTGTTGTTGTTTCTGTTGTTACGGTAATTCTTATCAACCCTTTGATTATTTGATCTATTACTATTATTTTGTCTCTTATCTATAGTTTGTCTTGGTTTTGGTGGTTCTTTAACTAATCCCAATTCCTTAGCTAATTGAGTTTTCATATCAAGACCAAATTTTTCAACACGTACAATTAATTTTTCCAATGAATCAATTTCTGATTGTTCCTGTCCAAATTTTTTAGCACGGTGTAATTTCTTATTTAATAGATCTAATGCCATTGCCTTTATTTCTTCTTGGGTTAGAACCTTCTTTTCTTCTACTTTACTTTCAACTTCTTCAGTTTCTGCTTCTTTAGATTCAGTATCGTTATTAGCATTTTCTTCCAATACCACAGCAGCAGAAACTCCAGTTTCAGCAGTGGTAGCAACATCAGAAGTGGCTGAATCAGCGACTTCTTCAGTAGTAGCTTGTTCATTTGGTTGGGGAACAGTATTAGAGTTTACATTTTCGTCATTTAGAAGATTCTTCAAACCAGCACTACCACTGCCGGTGGTAGTGGAAGCAGGGTTAGTGTTTGTTGTAGTAGAGTCATCCTTTTCTAATCTTTCGATCAATTCATTTTTCAAACCTTGTGTAGATAAATTTCTATCTCTCAATGTATCTCTTAGTTGAGCAACAGTTAAGTTTTTATAATCAGCCATGTCTATTATTTTTGCTTTGACCTTTATATATTTTACCTAGTAATAAACGCTATCCTTGAATAACTAAAAAATGTATTAGAACAGCTTTTGATACCTTCTATGAAGTTCAAACGAACAATCTCAAAGAACAATTAATACTAGACCTTACGAATCGATCTCGAACCAAATTTTAAATTAGGTTATAAAGCTCTGATTGTAAATTTTTTTCAATCACATATATATGTTTTGGTTCTTCTTAGTCGTTCGTTATCCATTCTGACAATTGTTTAAAGTGTTTATTCAACACATTTCACCAAAAACGTACAAAATGCTTAGTAGTTAAGAAATTCTTACAGAAACACCGTCAAAGACCAGTAGAAGGTATAGGAGACACCATGTCAAAGAGAGGGTAACTAATTTATTAAATGTAAGCGTGTTTTATGTATGTGTATGGAGTGTATACTCTAAGGACTAAGCTAATTTGTAAACAACTTGATAAGCCACCACTTTAAGATGGATCGTTATATTTAGATTGTTTTTTTGTTACACTACATGGTATTGAATTGTATTGTCTGGACCCTATACAGGAACAACGACACAGATAAAGATAATATAATATATATATCTACTGCTTATTTCTGGACGTTTTTACAAACCATTTATTATATCTGAAATGTTGAGTTTTGATGTCATGTGATTAAAAATAATGGAATTTGATGTAGGGTAATTTATGGAATATACTAGATACCGCGTCTCTAATAAATGTAGAGCACAAGGACACAGGCAAGTTTCAGAATTATATTTAGATCCATCGATTAAGGTAACTAGGAAGTATGAAAAGACTACTATATCTGGAGAAGGAGAGATAAAAGAGTATGAAACATCATTATAATATTGAAAAATAGTATAATTTCACTCTTTGGCCATCGGATTCCTAAATAACTTAATCTGAAGGATAAATAAACCAGTTAAATTAGTTAAGCTAGTTGAATATCTTCAGCTGTTGAATAATCCCTATTTTTAAATGGCTAACAACAATTTACTAGATAAGTCACATGTATAATATATAAGCTCCATTACAAGAAGTTACCCTCCTATAGATCTAAATCCTAGAATATGAAAACCTATGTAATTACTCACGAAATGACTTTATTAGGACAGATAATACAACACAGATTATATACACTAAGCCAAGAGGGTAGCTCAATCAAGAATTTAAACAACAAAACGAATCTCATAATCTCATAAATTGATCGTATTTTCAAATACTTTCATAAAACAATTGATTCTAAAGATATTCAATACCTTGCATCATTTAAAAATAAAAAACATTAATGACATAAATATAATTACCGTCAAATTACTATCATTATCCGATGAAATGGTTCCTCTCCAATTTAATCCACACACATATTATTTTAATAGTTTACGACATCATTAATATAAATTCCCAATGAGATATCCTGGTCTTTTTTATCATTATTTAATTGACTCTATTATTCTTGGATTTTTCCATCAAATGTTAAGGTACGGTTTTAGATTTAAAGTCATCGCCTTGAAAAACTATTAATATATAAAGATATATATAATAATAGGTACCGATATGAACAACTGAATAAAGGATTGCTCGAACGTTCTACCTTAGCATATACCATTTTATATCAATTATTTGACTATAATGTTTAATTCATGTTAGCATATTCTTAGTTGCACTAGTAGTTTCCAATTTTATTTATATCTGGAAGCAGTAGCAGCAGCTACATAGTCAAGTCAAACAATAAGAAATTTAATTATATCATACTATGTCTAGAAGAGTGGTGGTTACTGGGTTAGGGTGTATTTCACCACTGGGGAACAGTGTTCGTGAATCCTGGTTGAACTTATTAAACTCCAAATCTGGTTTGGTTAATTTGAAATCTCTTCCTGAATATGAGTCAGATTATAAGCCTTTTATTAAAAGTGTTCCGGAAAGTTTATCAGTAGGTAAAGCTTACTTTACAACTACTCATAAAGACTTATTTTCTGATGAAGATGAGAGAAGATTAGCTAAATTCACAAAATATGCAATTGGTGCAACTTACGAGGCTCTCGAAAATGCTAACCTTTTAAAAAAGAATACCCTACAGATTGATGAAACTTTAGTGGATTTAAATCGATTTGGTTGCATCGTAGGTTCTGGAATTGCCTCGATCGATGAGATTTACACTTCTTCAATTAAATTCCATAATGAACATAAAAGAGTCAATCCTTTATTTATACCTAAGATACTTACAAACATGGCAGCCGGTAATATTTCAATTAAATTTAAACTAAAAGGACCATCCCACTCGGTTTCAACCGCTTGTGCAACTGGTAATAATGCTATTGGTGATGCTTATAATTTTATTAAATTAGGTATGCAAGATATTTGTGTAGCTGGTGCAGCTGAAGCTTCACTTCATCCCCTTTCACTTGCAGGATTTGTAAGAGCCAAAAGCATAACCAGCAACGGTATATCAAGACCATTCGATGAAGAAAGATCTGGATTTGTGTTAGGTGAAGGTGCTGGTATTGTAGTTTTAGAATCGTTAGAGAATGCTTTAAAGCGTGGTGCCAATATTATATGTGAAATTATTGGATATGGTATTAGTAGTGACGCTAACCATATAACTTCACCACTTCCAGATGGAACAGGTGCTCAAAGAGCAATAGAAATGGCCATTGGTAACTCACGTAGATCAGAAATAAAATACGTAAATGCTCATGCAACCTCTACCGTTCTTGGAGACAGAGCAGAGTCAAACGCTATAAGAAATGCAATTTTTAAGGACACAGATAATGACAACCATATTAAAAATGAAATTTACGTGTCTAGTAACAAGGGTTCAATGGGCCACCTTCTAGGAGCTGCTGGTGCTGTTGAAAGCATTTTTACAATTAAATCAATTCAAAAAAATATAATTCCTCATACCTTAAATTTAAATAAATTGGATCAAGAAATCCAAGAGTCATCAGAAGGAATGACATTCGTTAAAGAATCTCCTAAGGAAATAGATAATTTAGAGATGGCTTTATGTAACAGTTTCGGATTTGGTGGTATTAACACCACTTTATTATACAAGAAGTATAGACCCTGAATTTCATTGTATGTAAATAAAAAATAATCGAAAACTATATATTAGACGAAAAGAGTCAAATTTATTAAAAATATTAAGGAACATAAGATATCCAATAAACTCGATTTGAATATTCTCTATTATTAATTATTCAATATATTTTAATATATATTTACAAACCCATATTATTTTTTATATCTATCCTGTATAAATGTTTGTATATAATAATGCTGTATTTCTATCAATAAAATGACCTTTAATGAATGATTGGACTAAGTATTACCTCAATTAACGACCAAAACGTTTCAATTCTAATGGTCTCAAAATAATGTATACGATGAAAGCCCATCCAGCACCTAATTCAAAACCTATATCACCACCGTATTCACCTATTAGTCTACCAATTTCACCAGCCCAATAGGTTTGAACCATACCAAGGGCAACCCCAAATGCAGCTACAATGAAGGCTGCAGTACCTGCAATACCAAGTGGAAGTTTAGACTTGTCATTCCAATCTTCAGGGTTGTAATTTTTGAATGAACCTTTTCTGAAAACAAAATGTTCAGTCAATGCAATAGATACATAGATCGATAAGTTATAACTGACACCATCCATAAAATATTGAATAAATGTAGCAAAATAATAACAAGCAGGGATAGAAATACCTAAAGTGGCACCGTTTGCTGCCAATGTCCAAACAACTCTTGGAACCTTAGAGAATGGTTCCCAAAGAGCTTGCACTGATAGGGCCATTGTGTACATATTTGGAACATTGTTAGATACGGTTGACAAAGCCAATAAAACACAACAAAATTGACCGAATCCATGCAATGAATCTGGAACTAAAATACCATAAGCTACACCACCCATACCGTTAGTCTTAAATAAGTCAGACCATGGTTCATAGTTGACAGCAGCTCTTGCGGAAGCAGCACCTAAATCATAGTGAAGTATAATGGGAAAGCTAAACCAACTACCAAGGCAAAGAATACCTTGACTTTATTGGTGTTTCTTGGCATGTATACTGTGTAATCAGATGCGTATGTTGTCCAACCTGCTGCAAAACCGTAAACGGTAGTACCAAACGATAGAATAGAACCAGCAGTAGTTGCACCACTACCCCATTCACCGTTGCTAAAATGATCAGATTTTGCCAGTCTTGCAATAATAACTAAAAAGATTGCAAAGTTAGGAATCCAAGAATATTTTTCATAAGTATGAATAACACTATAACCAAAGAATGTGACCATGACGGTAATTATAATAATAACCAAACAACCGGCCCAAAGAGGCAAGTTATGACCAGAGCTCTGATTGACTACATTTAGAAGTTGGGCAGCTGCCACAGTATTAACAATACCCCAGCCGACACAAGCAACTGTATTAATCAATGCAAAGATTCTGGCGGTAAAATTACCCAAAAGAAAACGAGATAAAACCATTTGTCTTAAACTTAGTTCAATACCAAATAATGAAAAGAATGCAACAGATAAAAGACCAATGATGTTAAAGAAGAAAATGACCAAAACTGAATTACCAAAATTTAAGCCAAATACCAAAGGACCTAACCCACCAATGGAATAAGCTGGTAAAACCATATTTGCTGAAAACCACATTGAAGCAGCATTTAGTAGAGAGGAATCTGTTTTTTCTTCATCTGGGATAGGTTCAATACCTGCTGTTTCAGCATTTAAACTTGCAATAAACTTATGAAAGAATGATAGCTTAGTTTCTACGATGTCGTTTTTATAAGTTTCACTCGTTATGCTAATATTATCATAATCGTTTGAACCAGTTCCTAAGTCAATCGAATTAGAAATAGCAGAATCTGACTTAGTTGCGATTTTAACATCATTCTTTTCCATGTCACTATAACCATTTATTGAAGACATCGTTGATTAATGTATATATGTATGCCAATTATGAGGAATCTCAATTAATAAATCAAAATGACGTAAAAAACCCAGAATGTATTAAGATGATATTACAGTAGGAATAGGAGAAATTGTCACCTGTATTTGAACCTAATTCAATTTAATAATTATGCAAATGTTGTTGTAAAATACTAACAGAAATATTGAAGAACAAAATGAATCTTAATGATATTGTTCTATCAATTTTAATGTGCAGAATATAATTCGTTGCTGGTATACTAATCTACCCTTTTTAGAGAACAACTATATTGTATTAAGGTTGACGTTAAGCTTTACAGATATGTTAACTGATTGATGCAAGATATAAGAAGTCTTTAAGTATTATTTTATTATTTTAGCCTGTTACGAAGATTAAAATATAAACTTGAATTATAATATAATAAAATAAATCAATCGAAGCTAAAAATTAATGATAGATTTCACATCGATAATTTATATTAATTTTTTTTTTTTCATCTTTAACTTATCGATACTAGAATTTATTATATTTTCACCTTATGATACGAAGAAAAAAAAGGAATGGAGGCCTTCAGGACTTAATTCAAGGCAATTAGCCAACAAGAGACAGTAAGAAACCTTAGCATAAAAATGAAGAAAATTTTCTCATCAGTTATTTCGAACTGATTCAAGTTAAGCCCAAAAAAATTTATTGCAAGTATTGTTAGAGAGACCATTTTTCAAAAATTCCAAGATAAGAAATCAAGAGTTAAAAAAAAACAAGCACGTTAATATCAACTTGAAGAGAATATCCAGTACTTGGTGTATATGTATGTAGGTAAAGCCGATTATAAAATAGTACAATTAAACTACATATCTTTTTTTTTTTTAAAAAAAAGACCAAGGCAAGGCAACCTGAGTAGAACCAAGAGTGAAAAAAAATAAAATGGACGGGACAGAAAATGTGTAACCTTACAACCCTACTATTTTAGCATACCTCATAAAAATTATCTCACGATTTCGATTCTTATCTATCCATCCATTAAGAAATTATCTAGTGGTTCAGCAGTCAATTTCTGAAAAATTTGATCATTAATTACTATGATTTTTGTATTACATAACTAATACAAAAGTTATCTAATATGGAGATGGAGTTAGAGGATTAGCTAAAGTACCCTACAGAGAAGTGTCAAACGAAGTCAAATTAATTTGTTAGTTAGTTTCCTTTCCTTTACCATGGCGGAATAAAGAGAGCCTGCTTGCAAAAAAGACTACAGTAAATTCCAATTTATTATATTATGACTTCGGCTTTGAAGTTAAATTGAGTATCTAATATTATCAAAGTTTATATGCCCTTGAGGTCATTTCTTCTGATAAAGAAGCATTTTAATGGCTTTCCGATTCTGATTCTGCTTCTGCTTCTGATTCTCCTTCTACTTCGAATTTGATTTCGAATTTGAAGTTAAAATAATTTAAGTAGCGAAGAAATGCAGAAGTCAAGATGTACTCGTACATCGTTATTGGACATGAAAAGTTATTAAGGATAGGCGTGGCGTTTTGCAGTTTTAGTTTTCGAAAGTTCTGCATATATTTCTTAGTATTACTTCCTTAATTCTTGCTGAAGGTATACTTTTGAATAAGATACTGTACTTCCCTTAACACCTATACAACAACTTATCTTAACTAATGAATTCTTCATTTCTTTCTTTTTGTGTACACTTAGTGATAGCACCGCACAAGTAACGTGTGCATGTATTAAGAAAAAGAAATTCACGTAACATCAAAAGACGCGATATTTCTACTTTTTAGATAATTTCCCACGAAGTTTCTTTATAATAGTAGATACGATTGGTTAGATGCCGAGAAACAAGGCAAAAACAGACCAGCAATTTGAACCGAAAGTGTATATGTATGACCACACTCCGTACACCATTTCTCTTCATTAGAAACAAACATTACAACAGAACTAAGTAGAGTCAACTGGATTAATTTTTAATGCGAAGCCCAATACCAGACGATTAGGGTTTCAGGGTTACAGATAATTTGCCGTTATCCTTGCCAACCACTACTGTTAAGGAGGGTAACAACAGACAATGTATATCTATATCTTTTCCATTTAGTAACCCGGACTTACTCTCACCTCTCAAAACCATTATACCCGCCAATACCCAAGGACGTCAGGATAAGAAAAATAACTACTTTATATCTTCGAAAATATATCAAAATAAAGGGGAATTATCAAGTTTGTAACCTATTCATATTGAAATTTTAAGTTTATGAAACTATAAATGAATCAATGTGTTCAGAATGGTTACTAATTCCAAATAAGCACACCTGTATACATGAAAGGAAATGCCATATGTATCTTGATCTCAGATAATGATTAACTGAGACTTATTTTTTTTGCAAACAATGTCATAGATAAATATTGGCGTCAAGAAATAAATACGTTCTAATGGTAGTTCCAAAGGAAAATGAAAATTCTTCTTTCAGTAAGCAACTCCGATATATTACTATAAAGATTATAATTGAAATGAACCTCTCTAATAGAAGTATCATTCATATGGTGATGAATTACCTATATGTACATTTAATATCTCATTCATTAGATCAGATAATCTTTTTTTTGCCGCCAATGATTAAACCAAGTTTCTGTTTTTGTTTTTGTGGTTCATTATCATCAAGCATTTTTTTCGAATTGGTTTTTTTTATTCTTTGGAAAGGGAATCGAGCTTGAAGGGATTCTTATTTTTAACCATGTGACTATCACATGATTGTTTTTTTTTCAAAGAAATTATCACGTTATTAAAAATGAGTGTGAGAGAACTCGAAGCGGAAATAGTGTCAAAGTTTTTAAGGTATCACATGATTATATCAATAATTTCACATGCTAAAATGAAAACAATAGAATTTCAGATTTTAGGTTTTTTTTTTTAATGTTCAAATCAAAAATTGAAATCCTTCAATATTCTCACTTTTCAAGAGACTTTCTGCATGAAGCACAGTTCTAAATTAGATCAGATGTCTCCTTTTGGTATCTACGATCTTCTAAAAGTGAATTACCATTAATTAGTTGATCCAGTAATCCATTTGGTATTTTTTTTTAATCTTCCTTTTAGTTTCTCTAATATAGGATTTGATTGAAATAAGTTTGGCAATACCCTTCCTCTCATCCTCACTTGGGAAACTTGCGTCGGTGCATGTGGTTTGTGACATACTGTTTTTAAAATTTGATATTACAGTGGGATGACAATTATTTAAAAAATATCAGCTGCTTGGATTTCATACTGTTCCAATACTCTAGCTTACCAAATTCGATCAAACAATTAGTATATCAATTAAACTTAATTGGTATTAAAGTTTCTTTTATAAGCAAGATACTGGCTAAATTTTGGTTCTTGTTATTTAGATTTTTTTTTTAAAAAAAAATAAACAACAATAACCTACATTAAGATACAATTTCATGCATTACTAAAAACTGTGAATTTATATCATTAAATTTTCCAATTACTATTCAATTGACAATTAAACTCAATACTTCTGATTTCTTTGATTCTAAGTACATTATTTGTTGTTTTTATTTTCATATTTTAAAGGTTAAAAACATACATATACAATAAAATAATTGAAATTGATAATTTCACAAGCAAGATAAAATTAACAGTATTATTTCTTTTTGCAAGTTTGCTTTTATTAACTTTGTTTACCCATAGCTTTTATTCCCTTAATTTTAGATCGACAGTGTGATTTTTAATCTTTTCTCGATTTCATAACAACTTTTTAGCCCTTCGAAATAGCAATCTTTATAATTGCGGAAAGCTATTATTTATGTCGATCATTGACTAAAAATAAATAGAAATATAAAAAATTAATATTAATAACTAGAAAGGAAACAATAGGAAACATTATACGATACTAATTATGGATAACTTCTCAGCATTATTCAGCATTACCAAAGACAATAATTCATCCTATATGGACGATGATTTTGATTTAGGTATAGATTTCGAAACTGCGTATAATGTATTTAATGAAGTATTTGATGATAACGATAATTCTGATAAGAATGATGATCACAACTACAATAGAAACAGTCCGACAAAGAGTCAGAAACAAAATAATATAAATACAAATATAATTCACAATCATGACCAAAATCTTAGTCAGTTGCAAAATCATAATTATATGAATGATAACGTACTTCTTACAAACACGTTACCTTCACCATTAAAAGTGACCTCGCCTGATTTGAATCTAATCTCTAATAATATGTCAAATAATCATAATCAGAATCACATTCACAATGATAACTCAAACTCCAAGAAAAATTTTAATGTTAATAATGATCGTTATCTACAGAATAATATAACCCCTACAAATGGGCTACATATTTCTTCCCCTACTGATATGGATAAAGAAATTCAAAATATACTAAACAGCCAAAGTGATGATAGTTTATTACTTCCTACAACCAATCCTCAATTGTTAACGTCATTAGAAAGTAATGCCATCGAGAATTTTTTAGATAGCTTGATTAATTCACATCCATCACCGATTAGCGCAATAAATACCAATAACAATAATCATACTAACAATCACACAGCTAGCAACGTTTTCGATAATGATGGTGAAAATAATTTTCATCACAGTAATAATAACCCTTCGCATAACCATACATTCATTTTATCACCTGCATTTAACTCAAATACTTCTTCATCTACTTCAAATTCAAATATTGCATCAAATTATAGTACACAATCTGTAACTACAAACAATTCATCTGCTTTACAAAAACAAAATATGCATATTGATCAACAAAATCAAATTATTAAAGGAAATAATCCTATTTCTTCAAGTTCAAATACTTTCATCGAAAACAAAAGCACAAATATCCAAGACTCGAATAATGATAAAAGGACATCTCATAATAATTCCAATGAACTAAAAATTACCAATGACCCACCATCAGTCAAATCTTCAATTTATTTACCAAACGAAATAGAATTACCAGAATTAAAGATAGATGATTCTGAAATGCCTTCTGATATTAGGAGTGATCCAAAAAAAGTTAAAAAATGGAGACATGTAAATGCAGAAAGGCAAAGAAGAAATTTAATCAAATCGACATTTGAAAATCTGATATCGTTAGTTAAATTTCCAAGATACGAGGAAGTTGATCCAAAAGATATCAAGAACGACGGAGAAAAGAATTTGATTACATTTCCAATGGATAAAAGAATACCGAAACACATCAGTTTAAGTTACATTTTACAAGATATGAAAGGTATCATTAGTGCCAACGAACAATTGGAATTTTTGTTAAACACAATTTTAGAATAATTAATGTAAATAAAAATATGTATTTATACTTTATATATAAATTTATATTATATTTAAGTAGATTATAGATTTAATTCAGATAAAATATGCGATGCCAATTCTTTGTACATCCAAGTATTACCGGAAACTTTCTTGAAATGTACACCGGCCAACCCAACTATACGAACTTTAACAATATGGATTTCAAATTTAATTGGAGGTCTTTCTTTAAGACTTTCACGATTCTCACTCTTAGTTGGAGATTGAGGATTTTGCTGTAGTTGTTGTTGTTGTGCAAGGGTTGGTGTTCTATAATAATCAATTTTATTCATATCTTGGACCTTTGATGTTGTTAAAATATCTTCTTGATTATTGATTTCATCCAACGAAGCAGTGGAAGCTTCTTCAGAAATGATATCATTATGGTTATTAGTTGAAGAAGTCCCAATAGAAGTAGCTCCATTGATATTTGATCCTACAAGAGTAGATGATAAACTTCTTTCATGCTCTTCATTGTTTACACCTAGTGGAGTTGCCGGAATTCCAGTCTGATTATATTTAATAGAACTTTGACGTCTCATTGATAATTGAGGTGTGCCCGATATCACTCTTCTATGAGTAGCCGCAGGAGGTTGTAACATCTGTACAGCTTGTTGATGGTCCTGTGAGAAGTTAGTACCTGGGATTTGTGCAATTTCCTGATAGTCTTCATTTATGACCTGACCTCTTTGAATACACACAAACCCACCTCTAACTTCCTTAAAATCAATATTCATTCTTCTCAATACAGAGATTATTTTATATCTTACTATTGGTAATGGCTTTGAAGATGTTGTTTGAACAGAAAAGAAACCCTTCAAGAATAATGAACGAGGATAATCAATAGAAGGCATTGATCCTGGAGGAGCCTTTGCAGCTTCATCTAATATTTCTTGATCTGTTAACTCACGAATATAAGAAGGAGTCTTCGTAATTTGCAATGAATGATTGCCGGAATTAGCAGATTGGTTGGATGTGACCATTGTGATATTTTGATTATTATATCTACTATCAGTTTCCAAGAAACCAGTTCCATCTGCTTCTTGTTGATATGCCGAAGTGGGGACTGGAGGTCTCATGAATTTCAAAGATTCTCTACGAGCGTGACCAACAGATTTAGCTCTAGCGCTTGGATGTAATTTACGACCCTTAGGAACAGTTAATTGGGGCAATGGCTTAGAACTATCATTTTCATCTTCACCACTAATATCTTCAACATCAGGTTCATTGTTATCACGAACTTTTCCTACATTTAATTGATCTAGTTTTAAATTATTCATATCATTTTCGATTTCTTTTGCACGTTGTTGCTGTAATAAGTGTTCTGCGTTAGTTGGTAAAGCTGGTAATTCAGATGGTTGCTTTTGTGAAGCAGACCTTTTAGGTGGTGAAGAGACATTCAATTTTGCTTCAGCTGCTGGAGTTGGAAAAAACTGTCTATTATTACTAAAAGAAGTTGTTTTAATGGTAGAAGGTACATGTTCTGAATAAGCACGTAAATGTGATTTTTGACCAGGCTGTCTGCTTCCCCCAATGACATTCGAACTTGTTTGAAATGATTGTTGTTGAGATGAAGATTGGGTTTGTGGAGATTGCTGAGATTGATGTTGGGTATTTGAACTACGTTGTGATAATCTTCTGAATATATCACCAAATGTAGATTTTTCATGAGTGTCTGATGGAGTAGTGACTTGATTACTATGTTGTTGGTAATCTGTAGCTTGTGGAAGTTTTGGAGATAAAACATAATCCAATTCACCTTGTTGTTCTGAACTCTTTCTTGAAGTTGGAGAAGTATGTGCTTGTTCTGGTACAACCAATTTTGGAGGGATCAATAATTGAAGAGGTTTTGGTTCTTTCTTTGATCCTACTTCATAACCTTCTATTCTTGTCTGTTCGTTTAATTTTGATGGTGACACTGTGTTTGGAGCATTTGTTTGAGCTTTTAGAATATCGTTTTGATTCATCGGTTTTGGTTCAAGTTTTACAGGTTTTTGAAGAGGTTCTGTTATTTGTTGATCCATAGGAGAAGGTGATCTTTTCTGAGTTTGTAACTGTTGTTGTAATTTCAATTGTTCTTCTTGTTCTTGTTGCTGTTTTTGCATTAATAACTGCTGCTTTCTTTGAAGCTTCTTTAATTTATTCTTTAGCATTTCATCTACCAAATAGTATATGGATATTAATGGATGGAATGCTGTTGTAGGGTCGTTGAATTGAGAGAAATCATTTTGATGTTCTTTTTCATAAATTGCTCTTTTAGACCAATATTGGTTTGAAGCTACCAAATATGATTCACCAGTAATAATCCTAGACAAATAATTATAAGTCTCTTCCACATCATCTACGAATTCTAAACGGAACATTTCTTTTATCACATTAATGTTTAGTCCATCTATCGTTAAGGGAACCCTTAGAGGAAGATAAGAAGGAGGAGCTGTATCATAACCTCTTACCATCCAATGATGATCCACCACTTGCTTTAAAGATGCTCTTCTTTTTGGATCTACAACTAACATTTTGGATAATAATGAAATGACTTCAATTGATAAGTGTTGTGAATATTCAACTTTACCTTGTTTAATTTTCTCATGTAGTACACTTGAATTTTCATCATCAAATGGAACTTTACCACATACCAAAACGTATAATACAACACCAAAAGACCAAACATCTACTTCTGGACCTGTATATGGGTTTGCTTTAAGTAGTTCAGGAGCAGCAAAATATAATGAACCACAGAAAGTATGTAATTGTTTTCTATTATCATATAAATTTGATAAACCGAAATCTATCAGTTTGATTTCACCAGACGTTGAAATCATTATATTTTCTATTTTTAAATCTCTATGAACAATATTATTAGCATGCAAATATTGTAATGCAGAAGCTATACCTCTAGCAAACCTTCTTGCATGATGTTCTCTTAAAGAGCCATGTTGAATGATATAATCTAATAATTGACCGCCTGATACGTATTCAAAAAGCATATAAAAATGGTTTGACATGGTACACATTTCAAATAGACGACAAATATGGGGATGATATAAGATTTGGCCCAAAGAGGCTTCTCTTATAGTTCTTTTATCTCTTGATATTTCCTTTTCCAGATTTTTCTGTCTTTCCATTATTTCTTGGTCATTTGCAGGGGCAGGTAAAGATTGTTCTTTATGCAAGAAAGCCTTTGTTGCTCTATTTACAATTTTGATAGCACAAATTTCATTAGTTCTATGATGTTTTGCTAATTTAACCTTCCCCATGGACCCAGCACCTACAGTTTCCAAAAAATTCCAATCTCCCAAGGATTTTCTATGGAATTGTTTTAACTGTTGATGTTGTTGCCTGCTTTGAGATTGATCTTTATTTTGATGTTGTTGTTTTTGCCTTGATGGAGTGTTTGAACTGCCACTACTGCTATGGTTATGGCTATGGTTATTATTGTTGTTATTGTTATTGTTGTTATTATTATTGTTATTATTAGTGTTATTATTACTATTCTTGATTTCGACTGGGGGCATCAATGGTGGCGATCTATCTTTATTTTCTTGAATAGTATTACTGCTGTTGTTATTGGTATTATTACTATTTGGTTTTGCACCCATCATTCTTGGAGTAGCTTTAGCCACTGCAATTGGAGCGCTTTCATAATTTCTGTTGCTACTATTTGTAGGGGTCCCCATTTTGAATTGGGTATTGACATGGTAGTCCTTTGAATTGTTTGACATTGTGTAAGCAGTTAAAGGAGGGATATAGAGTTATGGTTTATCAAAATGAATAAAAAGGGAGTTGTGAAGATGTATTATTTCCCAACAAAAGGATTTAACAAAAACAAAACTAAAAGTAAAAAAAAACTGTTGTAAAAATCAAATCAAAATATCAAAAACAAAGAACTGGATGTATCAAACAAATGAGATGGAATCAGTCTTGAATGTTAAAATTAGAATAGAATAAAATGAAGAAAATGCAAATAGAATCTTTAATTTAATTCTTTGTCAAGTGGAAAAAAAATTTGTTCTTGACAGTTTCAAAGATATTTCACGGCGTACTAAGCTTGAAGCTCGATTTGTAACCAATCTAGTTTGGATATATATATATATTATTCCTCTATCTGTTAGTCTCAATCCAGTTATTTGTATTGGAATGACAATAGTATAGTATAGGATATTATATGATAGGATAGGATACAGCCTCACAAAAGCTTTAAAAAAAAAGAGTATTGAGGAGGAGGAGGAGGAGAGGGAGGGGGGTGAGGTAGTACCTTACTTAAGAGTTCAATTTGATATTGGCAACTATTGTAATGTAAATAACTGGTATAAAGGGTTTAATATCAGTTTTCAGTGTTGACCAAACTAATAATTGGTTTTATTTTTTTCGAATTAAAGCTTGGTTAAGAAAAAAAATAAAACCTAATGTAAAGTCCTTTAATTAACTTGTTTCGAAGATAGGGATACCGTAATAATCGATTTGAGTTAAACTAGTAAACTTATAGTTAGTCGATATTACTCAAATTATATTTGTTTGTTCTTCCTCTAAGATAAATTAATTCTCCTTTAAAATTGGGAAAAATAAAAAAATTAAAGAAGAACAAGTTTACTGTGAAGAGCAGAGAGAGAAATAACGAGTTGGATAGGATGATGACAAAGAGATGAAGATAGTTAAACAAAATATAATGAATATACAAGCAAAGACATTTGTTACAAGACAAGAGAGACAGATTCTATTCTAATCCAATAAACTCAAGGTTAGTAAAAGCTTAATTAATTAATCATGACAAGGACAGAGAGTTGCAGTCTGAGAAGTTGGGAAAGGGTAAGGTAGAGAGAGAAGGGTTACGGGTATGGTATGGGATGGGATGGGATAGTAGAGTTGGGTTAGTTTGGAGGTTCGAGTGATGGCCGGTGTAAGTGAATGTAAGTAAGTTCTTTGATGAGATGAAATTGAACAGGCTTGATTGATTGATTGATTGATTGATTTCGATTAGTTTAGCCAAGTTAAGCTTCTGTTTAGTTATCGAGGTTGGTATGGATAGAGAGACAAGTTGAGAAAGGGAAAGGGAAACGGTAAAGGGAAAAAATTAGATGGGAGTGTTCGTTGCGAGTGATGATGGATGGAAATAGATTTATTATGTGATTACGTTTAGTACATAGTGATCAGTTGAATGGAGAGGGGAGGGAGGAGGAGCAGGTCAAAGTGAAGGTGAAGGTGAAGGTGAAGGTGAAGGTGAAGGTGATGGCGTATAGTCTCAAGGGGTTCATCAGTTAGGCAAACTGTTGTTGGGGACCAAATAGAGAAAAAAAGATTACTAAATTCGTTGATTGATGGGTGATGATGGGAACCGGCGGTGGATCGATGTGAAGAATATGTAGGATGAGTCCATACGTACATATATGGTTTCACAAGCACTCGAGTACACACACACAAATCAATATTGATTTGTGTGTGTGTTTGTCTTGTGAAAGAAAAGTGGGGGGCAGAATGAAGGCAACAGCATTTCGCACACACAGATAGATAGAGAGAGAGAGAGCAGCGACCCACATACTCTGAAAGTGAGAACTACGACATAATCAATAAGAAATAGAAACAAATAATCAAAAGCCTTCGTCCACACGTGACACTCACATGTAAAAGTCCGGGTAATACAAAGAAACTCGCCAGAACGTGTTACCCTGCCCACAGCTGCTTGCTTCCCTACTCCCCCCCTCAAAATGAATAAAAATTGATAAAGGCAGAAACGCCAGAAACACACACACAAAAAAATAGCAGAGGACAGACAACTGATATTTACCCAATTGGGAAGTCCGTCTCTCCTGCACCGTTCCAATACAGCAAAATCAGTAAAAAGAAAGCAAGACGTAAAAAACCAAAAACAGCCCAATATAAATTGCAGTTTCGAACTAGGCCAAGAACGCAGTCTATCGCACAAACCCAGATGATTGATACCTCGAATATATATATCTTACCTGTCCAATACACAACTGAGAAATCCACAGGTCTGTCTGTCTGTCTGTCTCTACCTCGCTCGTACCGTATTGGCAATATGCACACAAACATCCATCACACATTGGACTGCTAGGCTAGCTTGACGATACCTGTCAATAAATACGTAATTTATTACTAAACTAACCTTTAACAAGCTGAACTCTTAACACCAACCTACTCACTTCACTTCACCTCACCTCACCTCACCTCACAACAGACCTGATATCTCTTATATCTTCTGGTTTTGCATTAGCATTTCCCTTGGCTGTCTCTCTCTCTCTATCTCTGCCCTGCTCACATACACAACATAATACCTTACCATACCATCCATGTACTTTTATTACTCCAGTAGGAAATTAAAATCGAAACTAAAAAATTTACTGTTCAAAGAAATAAAGCGTATTCTCATTCTGGTGTTTTGTCCCAGCTCTACGGCAGTTTCTCTCGAATCTTGAGATTTCGATACGAAACAATTTTGAAATTTTATTCCAATTTTTGATTCAATCTTCAAAAAATTATATATTAGAAATTCAATCAACTACATAGTTTATTTTATTCTTTTCTCGATTCATCATGGATGCTAACAATATCAATTCTTTTTCGCCAACTTACTTAACTTAACTGTTACATTCTAATCAGATTTAATTCTATTCTTAGTCTAAATTTTCATTTTCTTTCATTTAACTTTAAATAATATCTTGGTATCTCTCTTTTTTTATTTTTAATTTTTAATTTCATCTTTGGGCTTATTCACTTTATCCCACACTCTCATCTTCCTTTGAACTTCATCCACCCACCCCATTTCGAAATAGAAAATAAAAATTAACGTTAGATCGAAGTCCACACACTTTATCTAGTCTCCCTCCTCCTTAGGTTCCTGATATATAGAAATATCTGTTCCTGTCCTGTCACATTTTTGTATTATCATAGAATTGTTTAAGTTTAAACTCTTCTAATACACTCTGTCATCCTCATTCCTGTTCCAACCTTCTATCACTGATTCAATTACTCTTACTCAAATATATATATATATTTATATATATATCCATGCCAGTGTCTGTGACTACATTTATTACAATTTAAGGTTCCATCAAGATATCATTTTAACTTCTTTTATTAGATTATTTTTTTTTTTATTCAAAAGAAAAATTTTTCCTCTTCCTATTCTGTTTTTTCTTTTAATTATAACTTATGTCGTTGTCTGCTGCTGCTAACTCGATATCTGAATCAGATTTCCAGAATATTGGCCCTGCTCCAAGACCCCCGGCTGCACCTTCAAATTCAATTACGCCAATTTCTGGATTCAATCAAACTCAACCAATTTCATCCTTTAATATTAACAATACGAACAGCAATAATATTATCGAGAAAAAAAATTACTTGAAGTTTAATACCATTGATAAAAATACAAGAGCAATGAATTTATCGAAAAGAAACGGTTGGGTTTCTTACAAAGATGATGGTTTGTTATCATTTATTTGGCAAAAAAGATTCCTAGTTATAAATGATTCTTATATCTCACTTTATAAAAATGATAAAATGAATGATGATCCAATCTTACAATTCGCTTTGACAAACGTGATAAGTGTAAGTAGAACTCAATTAAAACAAAATTGTTTGGAAATTATAAGAATTACTGATAGAAATTCATTCCCTTCTTCAAATAATTTATCAAATAGCAATAGTAGTAATGGTAATAACAACAGTAACAATTCAAATTTAAGTTCACTAGATTCAAGCTCAAAAAAATCAATTTACATAACAACTAAGAATGAACATGAGTTACATGCTTGGCTAGACACTTTATTTACAAAATGTCCTCTACTAAGTGGTGTATCTTCCCCAACTAATTTTACTCACAAAGTGCATGTAGGTTTCGATCCAGAAACTGGTAGTTTTGTTGGTATGCCAACAAATTGGGAAAAATTATTAAAACATTCAAGAATTACTGGTGAAGATTGGAATAATGATTCAGCTGCGGTTATTCAAGTGTTACAATTCTACCAAGAATACAATGACTTAGGAATATCAAATAATAATAACAACAACAATAATAATAATAATCAAAACTCTGCATCAAACTCTGCATCAAATTCAATTACTTCATTAAATAACAATAAATCGAATAGATCAAGCCCTTCGCATATTAAATCACCAATAAATGATTATAACAATAACCAGCAACCTTTACCATCAATTGACTCATCAAAATCTTCTTTCCAACCTGTAAGACATGCACCTTCTCCTCCAAATTTTAAACCACAAATTTCGGTAAATACTAGGAATCAAGGTCTTCCACAACAATCTCCTTCTATGGGTAAATATCAAAATGTTATCCAACAACAACGATCAATTACTCCAACCTCCATAACAAATTTCCATCAGCAACAACAACAACCACAACAGCGTATGCCTGTAAGAAATATTGTTCCACAACAATACCAAATGCAACAAAAACCGGTCTCTCCTATTAATCAATATAGATCTCATCATAATATGGAAAACCCTTACTCAAAAGGACCTGTTGTTGCCCAATCTATCATTCAAAATAATGACAATGCATCTCCAATTAAACCAAATCAAGGAATTCCAACTCCAGTAAGATTACATCCTCAACGTGGAGCTCCATTACCACCACAACAACAGGCACCAGGTAAACCATCAGTACCGAGTAAAAGTCCAGGTCAAATCAATCCAAGCTCTGCAGCTGCAGCTGCTTTGGCAATGAAACAACATATGAAACAAGTTACACCAACAAAACAACAACCTGGACCGCCAAACTTCCCACAGCCTCAAAGACAAGCTCCAAAGAAACCAGAACTTGATCAAAAGAAAGATGTAGGAGTAAGAAAACAAAAGAAACCTTCAAAACCTACCATGTCCAATGCTGAAATAATGTCAAAATTGAAACAAGTGACATTTAATCTAGATCCAACACCATATTTCAGAATGATTGAAAAAGCAGGTCAAGGTGCAAGTGGTTCTGTTTATTTAGCGGAGAGACAACAAATTCAATCTAATAATTTAGAAATGATTCAAAGTACTAATGAAGAAAAGGCTCACATTGGTGATAAGGTTGCCATCAAGCAAATGATTTTGTCGAAACAACCACGTAAGGAATTGATTGTTAATGAAATATTAGTTATGAAAGACTCTCGTCATAAAAATATCGTTAATTTCTTAGAAGCCTATTTAAAAACAGAAGACGATCTATGGGTAGTAATGGAATTTATGGAGGGTGGATCATTAACTGATATTATCGAAAACAGTCCAGCCAATGGTGAGACTAATTCTCCATTGACAGAAGGCCAAATTGCATATATAGTGCGTGAAACCTGTCAAGGTTTAAAATTTTTACATGATAAACATATTATCCACAGGGATATTAAGTCTGACAATGTCTTACTTGACACCAGAGCTCGGGTTAAGATTACAGATTTTGGCTTCTGTGCTAAATTAACTGATCAAAGAAGTAAAAGAGCTACAATGGTTGGTACTCCATATTGGATGGCTCCAGAAGTTGTTAAACAACGTGAATATGATGAAAAAGTTGATGTTTGGTCATTAGGTATTATGTCTATTGAAATGTTGGAAGGTGAACCTCCATACTTAAATGAAGATCCACTAAAGGCATTATATTTAATTGCTACAAATGGTACGCCAAAATTAAAGCATCCTGAATCATTGTCTCTGGAAATAAAAAGATTTTTAAGCGTTTGTCTATGTGTAGACGTTAGATACAGAGCATCGACTGAAGAATTATTACATCATACATTCTTTAATATGGCATGTGAACCTTCAGATCTAACTTCTTTATTAGAATGGAAAAATTGATATCATTATCTCAGTTTGTAAATATAGAAAAAGTACATCACCAAAACTGAAATTTAAAAAGCATGCAGTCTCAGACAATGGTCTAAATTCTATTGTCATAAACTTTAAAGAGCTTTTATTTTTGTTATACCGTTCACAATATATAGTCATCTCGATGGGCATTATTTTAATAATACTTCTCCGTAGAAATGTAGAAGTCATTAGATTACATTCAATAACATATGTGGATCTGCATTATTTAATCAAACTTATAATTATGAACTTTAAGCCATATATATACTAGATATTACGTTTTAATAGGATAAATCTGTATTACTTTATTACCATTCAAATTTGATGTCGCTACCAACACAAGATATCGCTTTAAAATGTGAATTTTAAAGAAGTTTCAATATTTAAACTTTGATATCTATAAATGGGGTATGAATCATTTAAGTTATTAATGATTCTGTTCAAATATACTGTGGCTTGATATCAATACTTTGTACACACAACTTTTCTAACTTTGTTTTAAAGATTTTTTGCATTTTTTTGATATCAGGTAATCTATTCACTCTTATTCCAATAGAATCATCAAAACTCTTTTTGACACATTTTCCTGTGAAAGAATACATAAGGATAATAATTTTAAGGGCATTTGGATAGAAATCATATTGGAATTCCTTTACATTTGGTAATGATAAGAAGTCCGTCAATTAAAAATGTATATAATAGAGTACGCTTTCCAATAGTAGTGCAAACAAAGATTCCAATTAGGCACTACAGTTCTAAGAATGAAAATAATAGAATACCTGATAAGGGAAAAATATTGGAGTCTAATGAACCAAATATAGTTGAAGAAAAAAATAATGAGAAGATTACTTCTGGAGGGAGTAATCATAAGAAATCTTTGATATTACCAAGAGTTCCATCAACTGAGAATATTCCGGTAGAAGAAGTACAAACTGATGGATTATTTGCTGGTTATAGACCTTTGTTTCTAGGTAATTGTCCAATCGATGATGCTGAAAAAGGTTCTGAGTTGGATAGATTTCTTGCGTCATTTTCAGATTTGAAGCTACTCAATAACGAAGATTCTGATTCAAAAGAGGTTAAAATTGAAGATATTTTGGAAGACATTCAAAACGATATACGGAATGCTACAAATGAAGATATTGGTGATAATTCTAGAACTCGAAAGCCAGTAGTCCCATGGGATGCTTCGATCAGTGGTTTGATATATAATGATAGACCGTTTAAAAATATTCCTAATGAAGTAGTAAGCAAATTGAAACCATTTAAATTGATTGTATTCGAGAGGAAAATTGAGAGCAATAAACAAATAAATGGCAATAAATATATTATTATGAATGTTCACAATTCAAAGATTAACGATAAAACAGAAATGATAGATATCTATCAAGTGAATAAATCAAAGCAGCTTCATGATCAAATAGATGATAATACTATTATCGGCGTATCGAAAAAAACTCTAATAGAAAGCAAAAAAAAGTATGATACGGAAATGATAGAATTTCTAACCAAGTTTAAATTCATGAAAAGCGATCAAAGATTATTGACAAACTATGTAAATAAAATTGATAAAATACTGATCAAAGAACTTTATAAATTGACTAAATTGACTATTAAGCCATTTTTTGTACCATTTAACCTCCCATTGATATTATATTTGCCACAATGCATTAGTTCAAGAAATTCCTTAAAACGTATTCTTCGAAAGCACATTAATGATCATACACTCCCTATTTTATCCACGATAATAAGTAATAATACAAGTACTATTCAAAATGAGAAATTTTTAACGAAATTCAATTCAAAATCTAAGAATTTTATAAATGAAATTTCAAATGAACTACCTTCAAGGTATTACGATGATCAAGAAATAGATTGTTTACTACATAAAAGTCCAGTGCCAAACTTTAAAAGAATTTATTGGTTAAAAAAAAGTAAACGTAACAACATTTTCTATGGTAAAAATATCGACAAGGACTATATACTCGATTTCAACAATGAGTATAATATTACAAGAAGTAATATCAAATATATGAAATACCCAATTTGTCTATATTCAAAAACACTGAAAGAATTCTTCTCCGGCGAGAATTATTATGATTAATTATAGTCTATATAGTAATAGCTGCATTTTTTTCCATCATAACGTCATAAAATTTAACTATATAGATATAATTAAGTTTGTAAATAAAAAATAGAATAATAAATATGCCAGTATCTCTGGCTTGATAAATGTTACATTTTTAATAAATTGTCTTCATTGTATTTTTAATTAGAATTATCAGATGCTTTCATCAGCATCCATTTCTACAGTGTCCTCATCCGAATCGAATACAATATCTTTATTTCTATAAACAAAAACATCGTTTGGTCTATCCAACCCAATTCTATTTCTTACTATATCTTTTTGATTCTTATCTGAGCTATCCGTTGATGCATAATTTGATTTTGTAGAGGCACCAAAACTTTTCATAACGACATAATCAGTAAATTGTGTTAACCTATTTATTGGAACCTGTAAGTTATCGCCTAAGTAGTCCTTATAAGTTTTCTTTCTCTTAAATTGAACTTGGTTTATACTTTCGTCATCATTATCATTCTCAGCTAAATTATTTGTCCTAATATATGGGGCATCTTTCGATTTAGATTTTACAATATGATTAATGCTAACGCCATTGATAGGTTCGAGTATACTTTCACAACTTTCAGAATCATTAAATGAGCCTGGGCTTTTGTCTGATAAATCTGAGCGAACTAATGCATCTTGTACCTTTAATGCATAGTTTGCTATATTATGATCAGTCTGTTCATATTCATATAGATGTCTTCCAAGTATACTTTGGGCTTCCTTTTTTCTTGTTAATATTTCTATTCTATTTAACCACTCCCAAACAATGATTGTTGATCCCAAATAACAAGTGATATTGAAAAGTTCACCCAGATTACTTAACCATACATGGATTATATCGCAGAAAAAGACCACTAACTGTAAAAATACTATTACGATTGTTAATATCGTTAAGGTTGCCAGTTGTGTGGCACTAAAACAAAATTTCCACTTGCTGATAACATATGACGTAATTATACAAGCATATGAAGCACCGAGTGCTATTCGAAAAAGGTAAACAAAAGGTGATAATATATCTGAAAAATGGAAACTTGTTTTATTAGGGTCTGCGAATGTGGAAATTGCCCATAATACATTAGCGCATATTATAAACATTAAACCTGTTAAGAAGACAATTCTCTTTTCCACAATTCTGCCAAAAATTCTGGTAATATTTAATAACTGACATATTTGTAACAGTAATATTGATAGGAAATCTAATATAATAAAACAATAATCATTTGTTATAAGATGTAATACCGTTCGTACGGTTACCGCGCCAATTCTGTGATGATCTCGGGATAGTTGAGTCATTGCTCTAATTACAAAAATAGTAATATTTATAGTAGCTAGCATTGAAGCCAGTTTCGCTATTCTTGAGAAATATCTATGATGACTGTCATGTATAGAGATGAAAACTAACACTGTCAAAAACCAAATAATGACTAAATTTGAAGAGAATGACAAAACTAAAGGATAGACACCATACTTAAAAGAACCACCTTCTGGTCCACTAACTAATGTATATTTTTTCCAATCTTCCTTAACAATATCTAAGTAAGCAAATTTTGGTAAGTTTAGCGAAATGTATGAGGGTTTACCGTCATCACAATAACTTCGGAAAGAAACAGAATCAGCATGAATTACATAACCAGGTATATCGCGTCCGACTAGTATACCGCTTCCTAAATTATTCTTATTACAACTTCTATAAACCTGTGTGCGAGCAGGAAAATTATCCAAATCCCAGGGACCACTAAGAAGCATTATTCTTCGTCCTCTACCAATAGATATGACAATAATGGAAATGAGACGCTGATATTGGAATGACTTCAATAGTAGAAATTGAACAAACCAAACCAGCAGCTATTCAATATCTAGACTCAAAATATATTTCTAATACTAAATTAATTTCTTGATCTCCAAAGCAATTTAGAATCTAATATCCATCAAAAATTATGGCTTGAAACAGGGTATATTTAACAACCGCTAATGATTCACTATTCTGACTATTGTCCTTGACACTTAATCCTTGATTACCTGCAATTATTGTCAAAATTAATAGAACTTAATGCAAACTCATCTCTTCATTTTAAGCTTTAAAGTTTATTAATTAATCTATTCCGGTTTTAATTGATCGTTCGTGTATAATGAGTATTTTAGAAATTTCAGATATACGAATGTATCGAAAGATTCAATCACATGATCAGTGTTAAATCACAATATAACCCTTAAGTATTATTCCCAAAATTTACAAGAGCCTTTAAAGCGAATATCAATTGAACCTTTCACAGTTAAACACAATTTCCAATACATACTAATTCAATATATCTAGTAATATTGTAAGTTAGATGAAGATTCTCAACAAATTGTAGTAGTGATATACTGTCAAAATATATAATTTACACGAATGTTCTTATCCCTATTGTAAATATATCTTTAGTATATATAACCAGTTATTTTAGAAAACATCAGTTGCCCATTTTATCAAGAATAATAGTACACAATAGTATATTGGTAAAGTACTTCTTAAAGTTGAAAAGATGACATCAAAACCCTTTGCTCAAAAATATAGTGCCACGATATAATTATATATCTGGTTCCACCTCAATGAGTTTAGTAAGGCTGATTTACTTAAATTTAATTGTTATTGGAGTAAAAAACAATTACAGAAGAATAAATTCTCTTCTTACTACTAATAATATCTTCATTTTACCTTCAGCACTCTATCACTATATATATATATATATATCTTTATGAATTAATTTTCAGTAAAGACAAGAAATCATATTTATACTGAAAAGAACCGAAAAATTGTGTTCCCTTATATAAGAACACTAACACCGTCGTCATCATCGTCGTTGGCGGTTAAATGTCAACGAGACATATCTTCTTTTCTTTTTTTTCCACATTCTCCAGATAAAACTGCATTACCCGGAAATAACTATTCTCTAGCTCACGTGATCCAAAAATAGCTCTTCTATAAAAAACAAAAAGTTGCTAAAATCAAGATCATTAGGAAAAACTTGAAAATTTAAAGGTTTTATATATTTAAATTTAAATTACAACTAATGAATTTTACAAAGGAAGGTTAAATTTAAAATTTTGGATTTTGTTTGCTTTGATATAGGTTTTAGAACTTGATAGGTAGCTTTTATATGTATTCATAGAACTTGTGGGTGGGTGGTTCATTTTTTTTTAAAAGAAATTTAGTTGGTTTTTGAAAGAGAAACGAGAGTTTTAAGGAAGAAAAATTTTTTTCGACATCGTATAGGTGATTAGGTTATTAAGAATAGGTCACTGATCCCAGTTATCATTTTGGTATAAGCATACATCTATCTATATTTTTCTTTTATTTTTTTTGGTAAAAAATTAATATTAGGGAGAAGGTATGGTTACTAATGGGGGTGATCCATTGAGGTTTTCAACTGGAGATGGGATTGATATTTTAGCTTCTAAGGAAAAGTTTATAAATTATAGATTCAAAGCTGTTAGATCACCGTCAGTGCCTAATTTCCATGAAGGCAATTATAAAAATTTGAATTCGAGTGAACCTATTTTGGCAAGTCCAATAGCAGCTCAACCTAATTATGAAAGTGATAGAGATACAGAAAATTTAGTCTTAAATTCTGAGCATGATGGTACCAATAGTTTAATTGATCTTTATAGAGATGAAATTGTTCATGAAAATAAAGATAGTAATGATAGTGAAGAGGGTGAAATATTTACAAGGAAAGAGGAAGAAATTGAAAACAGTAGTGAAGTTGAGCAGGCTTTCAGCGGATCTCCTTCAAAATTAGTAAGTGTAATGGATAATGCAGAACATTTTGATAGATACGGTTTTAGGAAACAAAATAATTTTATTACTGAAGGCGTTTATAATAAATGGTGGGAGGGATACTCTCAATACTGTATAAGAAGAAAACATAAATGGGTTATGCTACTAGAGAAAAGTGGGTTATCTGTAGATAATGATATGCCTACTAGGTTTCCACCAAGAAGTGAAAAATTGAAAAGATACGTAAGAAAAGGTATTCCAGCAGAATGGAGAGGAAATGCTTGGTGGTATTTTGTCAGAGGTCAGGAGAAATTAAACAAAAATAAAGATGTTTATGAAAAGTTATTGGTTAAGATGGGCGATTTAAATGATGAACAACAAAGAAAGAAATTAATTGATCTTGATGTAATCGAACGTGATTTGAATAGAACCTTTCCTGATAACATCCATTTTCAAAAAGAACAATTTCAAAATAAAGAACCACCTATGATCCAATCTTTGCGTCGAGTCTTAGTGGCTTTCTCTTTATACAATCCCAAAATTGGCTATTGCCAATCAATGAACTTTTTGGCCGGTTTATTGTTATTGTTTATGGATGAAGAGAGAGCATTTTGGATGCTAGTTATCATCACCTCTCGATACTTACCTGGTGTTCATAATGTTAATTTGGAAGGTGTTAATATAGACCAAGGTGTTCTTATGTTATGCATAAAGGAGTACCTACCAGAAATATGGGAATATATTTACCCCAAACAAAAGTTAGAAAATCAACATAAACATGACTCTTTGAACATTTCTACGGAAGTATTAAAAAACGAATTCCTGTTTAAGTTGCCTCCATTGACCCTTTGCACTGCAAGTTGGTTTATGAGTTGTTTCATTGGAATTATACCAATAGAAACAACTTTAAGAATTTGGGATTGTCTATTTTATGAGGAATCTCACTTTCTGTTTAAAGCATCTTTGGCGATATTTAAATTGTGTGAACAAGATATTATCAAAGATAAACCACTTCATAAAACCCTAGGTCAATACACTTTACCTAATAGCAATAGAACATCTAGATATTCTAGGTTGTCGCAAGATGACTACGATATGGAAATCTTCCAAATCATTCAATCATTTCCAAAAAGAATCATAGATCCAAATGATATCTTCGAAAAGATTATCTTTAAAAAACGTATTGCTTTGAATAGACTTGATCAACAAGAGATAGATCGTTGTAGAAAATATGTGTCTAATCAAAGGCTAAAGTATAAAAATTATAAAGATCTCATAGGAGACCAAGAATCACTAAAAAAAACCACAAATCGTATGAATAACAATATTAATATTATTAACAATAATAATATCACTCGTGAGAGTAATAATAACAACAATAGTAACAATAATAACAATAATACATCCTCTGCTGCAGAATCCCTAATGAAAGAGATTAATATGACAAATGATCTCATGAACGATACATTATCCTCGGAAGTTTATGGATTTAAAAAGGGCCTGTCTAGTGTTCATTGGAACAATAGTATAAAAGAAAGGGTCAAGCAGATGAGAAGGAAAAGGGAAAAGGACTATCAAACATAATGGCATTTTAATTATTTACATAACATCATATCATTTTTTTTTAATTTTTTATATGTTCCATAAATATTTAGATGATAGACATATATTTATTAAACATTCACTATTTATATAATAATAAAAACGATATGAATTAGTATATGAATATGTTTGTATCTGTGGTATACAGGGGGGTATAACCATTCTAAATGTAGATTATGTTCTAATTTATTTAGTCAACTCCCAACCTTTTTGCAATCTTTGCAAAGTTAAAGACGCATGTTTGTCATTATTAAATTTAGTCTTTAATAATAATTCAATCTCATTCCAAGGAACCTCTAGATTGGACAAATCAATATTTGTGCTATTGGTCTCAATTTCACTGGCACCTTCGGTATTTATCTCTTTCACAGGTGCCTTCGAAACCATAACATTCAATGTAGCATCTGATAAATTGAAATCAGCCAACAACATCTTATCGTGCAAAACTTTTCCCTTCAATAATAATTTCAATTGTTCAACATGTTCAACCTGTCCCTCAGCTACTAACAATTGCTTAACTTGATATACAGTATCATTAGTCGAGAACTTTTGTTCAACACTAAATTTAGGAGCTCTAACACTTTTCAATGTTAATTTAATTGAAGAAGCAGAACCATCACTTTTCTTAACTCTCTTAGGATCATACTTGTATTTTAAAGGTGGCAGAGCAACCCCCAAAGACTTCACCTCCTTCAATGGCTTCTGGTAATCCCTCCATAATATAGGATCTGATAATGTAGCTAAAGTCAAAAACTTACTGACAAATTCACTTTCAGTAGTAGTCATATTATATTTAATTTGCTTCACAACCAAAACTGGATAAAATCAACCAAATACAATTCACAATTACAGCTATTCTTGGGTCCCAATTCCTTAACTAACCAACTGTTTGTTTCAACTTCAACTGTTGCTTCTGATCCTTTTCTCTTCTGTTATAATGTCAAATCGATAAATATCAAACTTTTTTTCCAGATATAAATAATTCAGATATAAGAAGATAAGGACATTTAAAGTAGTATATCAAGTAATGAATAGTAAAGAAGATAAGGCAATCGCTGTTATATTGATAGGATCTCAGCTTATAATAGGCTACTGTCAAAGGGTTAAGATCAGTTTGTTGGGGGGGGCGAATTTGTTGATTATTAAGTTGATAGGCAATTCAATTGAATCGATGAATGATAACAATATTAGTGATGGTACAAATGAATTATCTGGGGATAGAGAACCAGAGTCTGTGATGATCAAGCCTATATTCTTTAACTATCATGAGTTTTCTGAGGTTTATTATTCTGATATCAGTCAATTTGTTGAATTCAAAGGTCATTCTGAGGATGAAACTATTTGTATAACTCATTTTCCTAATGTTTATGCGGAATTAGGTTCATCAGAGAGTCAGAATACAAGGATTGTGAGGATACCCAGAAGGTTTGAGACGACCATTGAATATCCTTCGTTTAGTAATGTATTGCCTGGAGCTGAACCAGCAGCGATGGTCAATGACGATGATGGGATGGAGTTTGTTCCTCATGGAATCTATGATGATGATAATCAATATTTTGGATATTCTTCTGTTAGTCCACTGTCAATATATTTAACACAAGAACAATTTGAAGAGATTGTAGAGACTATTAATAAACATTGCAAAGAATTGTATTCGGTTACTACTGCTTATAATTTGATAGATTTTTTTTTAGAAACAGTAACTTTGACATTATGGAGATGGGTTGCTAAAAGGGTGTATCCAAATCCTCTTTATAAAATTGATGATTATGTAGATCATATCAACAATTCGGATTTATTTAAAGACAGATGCATTAAACTAATACATCCAAGAGATTCGGGTTTTTTATCTCTTGACTTCCAAATTCCTAAACCGCATAACTAAACTCATAGATTTACTTTGAACTAACTGTAATACTACTAATATAATTTAATTTAGTTTAATATAATATAATATGATATAATATGATATAAAATTACTATCTTTAATACAAATTTATATACACCTCTATCTTAATTAACTCATATTAAAAATGTATACTTTGACCTTCTCAAATATTAATCTATAATGTCATGAATTTATGCACATTTTTATCTTTAATTGTTATTGTTATCTAGGTTATTCAATATGTCAGTAAAGTTCTTTTGTCCCGCATTATCTGAAATTGCTGATAAATTGAACAGCACTAAGTTTGAATAATCACCAATATAGTTACAAGTTGGGAAATCAAAATTTTCCAAAAGGAAGTTATAACTTAACGATAATAAGTCATAATTTGATGTAATAGATGGGCAGGCAAAACCAAAATCACTTGGGCAATCTCTAACCATTGAATAGCACATATCTATACACGGTAACACTTCATAATAATCATTTATTGGAGCAATATCATTGTTGATGTAGCTGTTTCTATTTTGTGATTTTTGTCTTCTAATAAACAAAGGAGATTCATCTGTTGTGCATCTAGGAATTGAAACAGCACATAGCCAATTCATATAAGATGCGGCACAATCATCGCATGTTCTAAATGGTGAATATCGAGCATCAAGTTCGGTATCACAAGGAATTATCTGCAAAGCATTACTGAAGTTAGCATATAAGGATTCAGCTATCGAATCATACATTTTTGCTATTGCATCTTTATCACTTGGAAATTTACTTGATGTTGGAACAGAATATGCAACACCAGAGCAGAAATTTAGTCCAAAAATCAATGAGCATGTATTATCTGGCTTTGTTGTAAAATCTATTCTTCGGAATAGAACACCTCCTATATCTAAAATGGCATTAGTATCTACAATTTTCTTTACCAAATATGCGGAATATGTTGTTGAACTATTCAATCCAGTAATATAAAATTGGCCTGTAGAACTACCATAAAAGGTACCTAGTGATATCTTTTGAGCAGCAAGGGTATCATTATTCAACATAGTTGTATTTATATTTAAAGTTGCAAAATCCCTTGAAGATAAAATATAAGGACCATTTTTTATGGCGCAGACAGACATACCAAACATTTCATCAATTATATCCGCTTCCTTAGTATCATAGATATAAACATCGTAGTATTTCAATGCTGAACTTACACCAGTTGATTTGGTTGAGTTAGCCACTGAACTTGAACCTATTGATAATAATGCAGAATTATAATCAGTGTCTAGTACTTGCAGCCATGATCTGGAATCCCATTGATATGTAAGATGATTTAAAGAAACGCTCAACGTATAATTCCAAAACTGATTCTCATTCTCTGGTGTCCTTTCTAATGGCATTTGGGTATCATAATCAAACAATTTAGCCACTATATATAATTTTGAATACAAAATTGATGAATCATTAGCAAAAGGACTAATCGCATATGATGAAAAATAACCCTCTGTGTAATCCCCATAGGAGGCAGTTGTTAAATCAGAAAGAATCGACTCATTAAACCCATAATATATCCTTAAACTTGGTGAGCCATCAGTAGTAATATTATCCATAGAACAAATATTACCAGACATAAAGACAAGCAATTCATAGGCTGTGCTGAAGGTAACATTAGCATTAGCATTAGCATCTTTTAAATCGAACACATACTCAGTAACCACACCTGCACTGATATTACCAGTCACTGCATCTAAATTAGTTAGATCACTGGCATCAAAGTCATCAGAATCACTTTTCAAATGGAAACTTTTTAAACCTGAATCAAATAGATTAAAATTCGCTAATACAAATTTATTACTTACTATGAAAAACAGTAAGAATAAAAACATCATATTAGCACATTTTTAATTCAATTATCAACCCTTCCAGAAAACCAGCAATATGTACTACCTTGTTTTGCCCAAAGGTTATCAACACTTTAAAAACTCTTCTTCTTAAACAATCAAATATAAATTTCAATATCTTCTTTAAAAGCCTTTAAATTTTTCAATATTTGATATAGTTGCCATATAAATCGAACAAGATACACGTAAAAAGGACAATATAAGCTTTGTTAAATTGTGTGATAAACACTAGATCAACGGTTTAGAATTGGATCATCGAAGTATTTTATACTAATTGGTTATTGTTGTTGATTTTATAGATTATATTTTTGAAACGTGGGGTTTCGATGAGTTTGGGTAGAGCAACTAATAGAGAGAACCTGCCTTGGGTAGAAAAATATAGACCAACTTCATTAGATGAAGTTTATGGTCAAAATGAAATTGTGAATACAGTTCGTAAGTTTGTTGAAGAAGGTAAATTGCCTCATTTACTGTTCTATGGGCCACCTGGTACTGGTAAGACATCTACAATTATTGCATTGGCTAAAGAAATCTATGGTAAAAACTACCATAATATGGTATTAGAATTAAATGCTAGTGATGATAGAGGTATTGATGTAGTGAGAAATCAAGTTAAAGATTTTGCATCTACAAGACAGATATTTAGCAAAGGTTTTAAGTTGATTATATTAGATGAAGCTGATGCTATGACTAATGCTGCTCAAAATTCTTTGAGAAGAATAATTGAAAAGTATACTAAGAATACAAGGTTCTGTATTTTGGCTAATTATGCTTATAAATTAACACCGGCTTTGTTGAGTAGATGTACAAGATTTAGGTTCCAACCTATTGGCCCTGCTGCTATCGAGCAACGTATGAACAATGTAATTATTAAGGAAAACATCAAGATCGATGATGCCGCAAAGAAGGCACTGCTAAAGGTTTCTAAAGGTGACATGAGAAGGGTTCTAAACGTACTTCAAGCTAGTAAAGCAGCAGTGGAAGAAAATGAAGAGATTACGGAGGAATTGATCTATGATTGTTGTGGTATGTGTAGACCAGGAGATGTGAAAAAGATATTGAAAAGTATCCTAGAGGAAGATTTCACATCTGCATACTACACGATGAACAAAATATGTCAAGAGAAAGGTGTTGCCTCAGTTGATATTATTGAAGAAATAGTATTATTATTAGAAGAGTACGAGTTACAAAATGAAGAAACTAGAATAGAAATGTTGACTAAACTAAGTGATATAGAATATGCCATTTCTAAAGGTGGCAACACAAAAGTAGTTCATAGTGCTATTATAAGTGCTATCAAAACCAGTTTTGAAAATGAATCAACTGTTGCCGCATAGCGTTTGTATATAATGTTTTATAGGAGCAAGTATATATATATATTGGTATTCAGTGATTCGAATGCATAAGTGTACAATAAGAATTCCTAAACCAAATATTTTGATCTGAGATTAGTAATATGATAGTGAGATTGGAAATGGCTTTTAGATTTGGTAAGGTGCTTGTGTAATCATAATAAATATGACATCGACATTGTAGTCTTGATATATATATGTGTGTTACCCCACTTTGAACTTATTATCACGTGTATAGTCTATCACATGACTGAGTAAGATTTCCGTTAACAATGATCAATATTTTTTCAATATGGCTAATTGTTGAAAATTAAGTAACAGAAGGATTAAAAATTAGTTTAATAACGAAACTTAACCATATAACGAATAGAAATAAAGTTAATGGAATCATAAACAGAACAAGTTATAAAGGCTATAACAGATCGGGCAACTTATACTTGAAACTATTGGACAATTACTATAGTTAGAATCATTGATATTCAGGTTTTTGATAGTTTTTAAATTTTTCCCAATTAAGTGTTTCAAATTTGCATTCGTTATCTTTTATATTAAAGGAATATTTGGAAATATTGTTTAAGATTAGATTAATAGAAGACCTTTGTGATCAGTATGCAATCGACTATGTTTATGCCTGCTGGTAATGTTGTAAATTCAGTTGGTGGACCTGCTATGGGAGGTGGTGCTGGACTAGATGTGGTTCATGGCAATGTAGGAAATAGCGGCACTGTTAGTGGTGGAGCTGCTGTTACCGGAACTAGTGCTGCTGGTGGTAGTGGTGTAGGTGTTGTGCCTGGAGTCGGTGCTGTTGGTGCAGCCCCTGGTGTTGGTATCGCTCCTAATTCTGTTGGTGGCAACCCAAGTGGGAATGGTGAGACTCATGCTCTAGATGATCCTAATGTGTACCATTGGATATGTCAATTGACTTATGGCCCTCAAAAAGAACAGGCAATGCTGGAATTGGGAAGGAAAAGAGAACAATTTGATGATTTGGCGATGGTTATTTGGTCCTCATTTGGTGTGATGACCTCTCTATTGAACGAAATTATATCAGTTTATCCAATGTTACAACCTAATTTACTATCGAACCAATTATCTAATAGAGTATGTAACGCGTTAGTCTTGCTACAATGTGTTGCTTCGCATCCAGAGACAAAGCATTTATTTTTGCAAGCACATATCCCATTATTTTTATTCCCATTTTTGAATACTACCTCTAGACAAAGGACTTTTGAATATTTGAGATTGACTTCATTGGGTGTCATTGGTGCATTAGTTAAAAATGATTCTCATGAAGTGATAAGTTTCCTACTAAGAACCGACATCATTCCATTATGTTTAAGAATAATGGAGACTTCATCTGAACTATCCAAGACTGTGGCGATTTTCATTTTACAAAAAATTTTATTAGACGATGTTGGGTTGCAATACATTTGTGCAACTTTAGAAAGATTCTATGCTGTAACTAATGTACTAAAGAATATGGTTGATCAATTGACTTCGCAAACACCTCCAGGAAGACTATTAAAGCATATAATCAGATGTTATTTGAGATTAAGTGATAACTTAGAGGCAAGAAGGCTATTAAAAATTGTATTACCCGAAAGATTGAGAGACAATACTTTTACTGAAGTATTGAAAGATGATGTGGGATCCAAAAGATGTCTGGCACAATTGTTATTAACGTTGAATGAAGACCAACAGATGCCAATTTCAACTGCCCAACAACAGCAGCAGCAGCAACAACAACAAATGCAACCATTGCCACAAGGAAAGGCACCACAGTCATATCCACAACCTCCACGTATGTGAGTAAAAGCATTTACCAAAGTCAATCTGCATTTTTTTCATATCCTCATCATAACTTCACTTCAATCACACATAAAAAGCACCCTATACTGTACATTCTATTCTGTGTTGTATTTTATATATGTCTCTTCACCTTTACCTTTACCTTCACCTTCACCTTCCCATTCTCCCCGTTGCATAGCATTCCATTCTTTAATATTTTTTTTATCATTAATAATGTTAGTATCATTCACATTGTGTACTATAATAGAAACAAGATCCTAAGTCAACAGATTTAGACACTTCTCATCTCATCTCATCTCCTTCTTAGTCAGTGACGTCTTGTTCAAACTTGATGAACCAACCTTCTCTCATTAACCCAATACAATACATTACATATCACTATATACGCCACTATAAATCCTTCCAATTTCGGTTTTTTCCCACTTTTTAAAACTACCACGTAACTTGACAACATTTTTGGTTTTAGGAGGTAGGTGAAAATTGTAAAGAGTTTAAGTCGAATCGAATTAAAATAAAATAAACTATATCAATCATTGATGTTTGTCTTATATTAAGTTGAACAAAGGTTTTGATATAGGATATATATTCATTGGCTCAAAAGTCTGCAATTGTAAGGTATTAGGTCTTTATTGTGTAGGAACTCGTTAAAGGTACCTTTATCTGTTTGTTTTTGCTTTGCTATATCAGTTTGGTGTGCTGCTGCTGTTACAAAAGGTTCGGAAAGAAAGTGAAAAGCTACTTATACTGTGATAGATTTATTCTGTTTGGAAGTGGCATTGAGTAATTGAATTATTGTGTTATTCAATTAAATATACTCATATTCTGTTTTGCTCCTCCATTCTTTGTTGTGTGTACTCTGGGTTTTTTTTTATTAAGTTAGAGTTCCCTTTTTCAGATCTTAAAAGAGTTAAGGTTTTGATTAATTAATTAATTGATTGAACAACAACAACAACAACTTTAGTAGTAGTATTAATAATGTCTACTCATACTTACAAAAAATTTGAAAATTCTGATTCAGGCGATTTGCCTGATAAGATGACAATCTATCAAGATTGTATGAACGAATTTAATGAATCTCCTGTTAATTCAAAAAGATGTCGTTTGTTAATTTCTCGTTTGTTAAGACTAATGGCACAAGGTGAAACTTTCCCAGAAAGCGAAGCTACTGCCTTATTCTTTTCTGTTTCAAAATTATTCCAACATCAGAATGATTCTTTGAGACAAGCCGTGTATTTAGCTATTAAAGAATTGAGTGGTATCTCTGAAGATGTCTTGATGGCTACCTCTTCCATTATGAAAGACGTTCAAAATGGTTCTGATTTAATCAAGCCAAACGCTATTAGATCTTTGACCGTCGTCTTGGATGAATCAACTGCTTTCTCAGCTGAAAGATTATTGAAAAGTGCAGTCGTCAGCAAAAATCCAACTATTTCTTCCGCTTCATTGACTGCTTCATATCATCTATTGCCAATTTCTGAAACTACTATTAAGAGATTCACCAATGAAGCTCAAGAAGCAGTAGTAGACTTGAAACCATTCCCACAAAATGATGTCACTGGTGATTATTATCCAAATTCAACTTTTATTACACAATACCATGCTTTGGGTTTGTTGTATCAGTTAAAGAAGAACGACAAAATGTCATTAATGAAATTAGTCAGACAATTCGCTGAAACTAATAACTTGAAAAATCAACTGGCTAAAGTTCAATTGGTTAAATTGGTTAATGACATTGTTCAAAGAGACCCTCAATTATTCACTCAATTCCAACAATTATTATACAACTGGTTGTCAAACAAATTCGAATCAGTTCAATTGGAAACAAGTAAATTGATCACCTCTTTTGCAACTACCAATCCTCGTTTGGTTTCTCCAGAATTATTCGCCGCTGCTATTCAAACTTTACAAGGTTTGTTGACCGTCCCAAGAGTTACAACTAAATTTGCAGCTTTAAGAATTTTAAACAGAATCTCTATGGTTTCTCCAGAAAAAATAGTCATCTGTAACCCAGAATTAGAATCTTTGATAAACGACTCAAATAGAAATGTTTCCACATATGCTATTACTATCCTATTGAAAACTGGTACCGCTAAGAACATTTCTTCATTGATTTCTACTATCACCAAGTTCATTCACGAAGTATCTGATGATTTCAAAATTATTATCATTGATGCAGTTAGAACTTTATCATTAAACTTCCCTCAAGAGTGGAAATCCATTTTGAACTTCTTAATTGATGTATTGAAGAATGGTGAAGGTGGTTTCAAATTTAAAAATAGTATTGTCGAAGCTTTAATAGATATTGTTTCGTTTGTCCCACAATCTAAAGAATTAGCTTTAGAAAACTTATGTGATTTCATTGAAGATTGTGAGTTTAACGAAATCTTGGTCAGAATTTTACATTTGTTAGGTAAAGAAGGTCCATACACTTCTAACCCTTCTTTGTACGTTAGACATATCTACAACAGAGTTGTATTGGAAAATTCTATTATTAGATCTGCAGCTGTAGTTTCTCTATCCAAATTTGCCTTAGCAAAGAACGACCCAACTTTAAAAGATTCGATTGTCAGTCTATTGAAAAGAATTGCTAACGACAAGGATGATGAAGTTAGAGATAGAGCTTCTATTGCTTTACAATTTATTGAATCTTCTGAATCTACAGGTGATTCTGCAAAGGATTTGATTCAAGCCAAATATTCTTACGACTATCAATCTTTGGAATCAAAATTGGTCTCATATATGTCCGATTCAGATGCTTTTAAAGCTCCATTTGAAGGCAGTACAGTTCGTAGAATTACTGATGATGAAGCCAAGGCTATGGACTTGAAGAGAAAGCAGGAACAATTACAAAGCGGTTCCCTTGAATCTGGTGCTGGTTCTTCAGGCTCTTTGGAATCTGGTAGCACTCCAGATGAAAGAGCTGATAAGGCAACCTACAAGGGCCCAAGTGTTGATCAACATAAGGAAGATTTATTGGCAACCAAATACGCAGACGAATTGTTATCAATTGAGCAATTTAAAGAATTTGGAACTTTGGTTAACAGCTCCAATTCTGTTGCTTTAACTGAACCAGAAGCTGAATTTGTTGTCCGTGGTGTTAAACACTTATTCAAAGAGCATGTAGTATTTCAATTCAGTATTACTAACACTTTAACTGATGTTATTTTGGATAATGTTTCTGTTGCTTGCACACCAGAAGATCCGGAAAATTCCCAATTAGAAGAATTATTTACTATTCCAATTGATAGACTTGCGCCATCAACTGAAGCTGCTTCATACATCGCCTTCAGAAAATCCGAAGATATTGTAATGGAAGGTTTCTTGTGTAACTTGACATTCACAACTAAAGAATTGAACCCAGATACTAACGAACCATTTGATGGTGACGAAGGTTTCCAAGACGAATATGAAATTGATTCTATCTTCTTAAACGCTGGTGATTACATCAAGAGCTCCTTCATAGGTGATTTTACCACCACATTTGATGAATTACCAAATGAAGAAGTTGCAGTATATAATATCCATGAAAACATATCATTACAAGAAGTTATTGATAAATTGGTCACCAATACAAGTTGTCTACCATTAGAAAATACTCAGTTTGCACCAAATGATTCAAATAGTCATGTTTTGAAATTATTTGGTAAGAGTGCTTTAACAGGTGTTAAGATTGCATTAACCGTCAGAATGATTAAGAGTTCTAAAGGTATCGCATTAAAGGCACAAGGTAAATCAGAAGATGCTACCTTATGTGCTGATTTGGTAAATGGGTTGATGTAAGTCGTGTGAAAAAATTGAAAATATATGTATAATCCCAAAATTATCGTTTTAGTGAACAGTAAGTCGGAACATTTAGCTTTCGAATGTACATTAATATGAAATGAACTTGGTTTATATAAACTTGATATAATTTAAATAACTGGAACAAGTGATAATCAAATTTCAAAATAGAAAGAATATTTAATCCTAAATAGAATCAGATTTTAATTTTTAATTAACGTACCTTAAATTTTAGATCAAGAAATTTCTATATAATTTAATTTTTAAAATTTTAGTGAAATCGAATAAATAAGTAATTAAGGTACAAGTTTAATTATGAAAGGCAGATATGTTTTAGAATAAATGATGTCAGCAGTGTAGAGATCGCATTTTATAAATTGATGACAATAGTATATATTACATAATGGATAAAGAAGAATTGGAATTGAAAGAGGAATTAAAGAGGCTTAAACAAGAAGAGTTAGAAAAGAGAAAAAGAATTCTATCAATTACAAATGAAAAGCATAATAAAGATAATATCACATCTGTCTTTTTATCTAACTTACCGAATATTGATAATTTAAAGCAGGAATTAACTATTAATGCATCGAAATTTGGTACAATAAGGAAGGATAAGGATGGTAATACGCTGTGTAAAATTTATTATGATAAGGCTGGAAATTTTGAAGGTAATGCCTTAATAGTTTATTCTAGAGCTGAAAGTATACCACTGGCAATTGAAATGATGGATGATAGTATGTTTCATGGAAATCAAATTAAAGTTGAATTGGCATCTTTTGAAAATAAAAAGAGGAATTATGAAAATATGAACAAAGATAAGTCGGAAGAACATGATGTAAAGCCATTGAAGAAATTACAAGATGTTCATAATAAATCTGAACAGATATTAGAAGTAAATGAACAAACAAGTGATACAGATGACGATTGGGTTTCTGAGAAGTTAGTAATTGAAAACAGGAAAAAAACTGCCGTACTTTCGAATATTGTTGACATTTATGGAGAACAAAACGATGAGGAATTAGATGAGATTACAGATGATATAATCGAAGGTTGTCAACAAATGGGCACAATTGAAGATTTTAAGTTATTGAAGGAGCTTGGGAAGGCAGAGATAAGGTTTTCCAAAAAAGAAGAAGCTCATCATTGCATATCCAAGATGAATAATCGATTCTTTGACGGAAGAAAAATAGTTGCATACATGCTTGATGATGATCAATTGATTGATAACGATAATGAGATGCATGAAACATTGAAAGAAGGAGAACAAGAATTAGCTAACTCGCTTCAAGATGATTTGATTGAGTAAACCAGACAGAAATATATAAGACTTCTTGGATTTATAATTAATGGAAAGAATGATAAAAAGAAAATTAAATAGATCTCAGTTTAATAATATAATTTGGGTAATGACATCATTGTCGACTATGTGCTGTTTAACTTTGTTATTCTTTCAGCCGTTCTCAAATAATAGAACTTAAAAGAAAAAAATATGAGCGGTACGAGAATCGAACCCGTGTCCCCACCTTGGAAGGGTGGGATGATAACCACTACACTAACCGCCCGGAACTGTTTTTGTTTGTTCTCTTTCAGATTCTAACGGATACAGAATTAGAGAGGATAAAATTGTATTGATTTACGAATAATTCTATACGAAATATTGGGGTATAACATATTTCTTTATTTACAGATGACACCCCAATTAGTATATAAAGCGACACTGTCGCATTGCCATAACTATTTGCTACCAAAACAAAAGAATCATCATCATCATATCATCATATCATTATTTAATATAAACAACTAAGTATTATTATATAAACTTAATAATAAGATTAATATAGATAATAGTTATATAGTTACAATACGTCGTTGGTCTATTGAACATTATTTCTAATACATATATTCCGGACAAAACAATACAAAAATTACAAGGCAAATTTTTTTTCTAAGTTATTTTGTGCGAACTTTGATTGCCGATGAAATATGTGTCATGGCATCATGTTGTTTGATAATATCAACATGGTTATTTGAAGACGTTATGGTATAATATTGTATATCATTTAGTATGCTAACTTGTACACAAAATAATCAATCAATAATATAATTAATTAATAGTATATTTACTGTATGATACAGATCTCTAAATTAAGATTCTCCTGAATAAACGCAAAACCGCCTTTATTTTAACGTATACAAAAATAACTATACGACTAAATAATAATTGAAACTTGCCAAACTGGACAATTAATACACAAACTGTTCATTGTCCAATTAGATATATCATCCCCTTATCTTTATGCTAATCTGAAAGAAGAACTTTACATTAGGACACCTCCTCATTTAGGACATAAGAATAAAGTTTTCAAAGTACAGAAATCTCTATATGGTTTGAAACAGAGTAGTGGTAACTGGTATGAAAACATCAAAAAATTCAGAACTGAGACATGTGGTATGTCTAGTTGTTGTAACCTAAAATGTATGGTTTACATTAATAGGTTTCAAGGTTATTCATATCACGTGATAAATGATAATTATTGCGCTAATAACATTAATCCAATTATTATAGTCATAAGCTAAGAGATAAAGGTTACATACCTATAAGAGTCTAGAACAATATCATGATCCGATAAATTCTATGTATTGATCGAATCATATTAAAGAACAATGATCTACTCAGATAATCCACTATCATTTTATTATTCAGATTTCAATAAACCTATCTCTTCTAGTACGTTTGATGAAGAACTGCCTCCTGACGTAATCCCAATATCAGATGACAGTTCAACACCTTCTGTTATTGAAGATGACGTGCCTCCAGAGATTCCTTCTTTATCCAGTTCTACTCCTGCTTTACCAGATGAATTGATTAATTCTTCCCCTGAGAACTCCCATTCGGGTGGTATCATAGATGATACTACTATATCTTCAGATACTTCACCTGCCATATCCCCTTCACTTGAGAATTCCCCTTCTGGTGGTACCATAGCTGATCTCAATACATCATCGGCCAATCCAGTATCTCCCTCTCTTTTAGCTCAGAATTCCAATTCGGGTGGTATAACTCAACCATCTGTTTCCACCGATTTGGGTGGTATAGGTAAGGAACAAGACAGTTCCAAGAAACGAATTAGAGAAATCAATGAAAACAACGACATGAAAAAACAACCATACTGGAGAAAGAACGATCTTTCAAGTATAAACTTCCCACCACGTCAGAAAAGAAGAATTCACCTTATTAACTCTGTTAAACATGCCATAAACAATCCTCCATCAGTTGGGAATAATTCACTATCTTATAGAGAAGCAATTACTTTAAATCAGAATCCAATAGATAAAGACTCATACAAAAAAGCATATATGAAGGAAGTTAATCAGTTGATGAAACACGAAACATGGGACAACCATAATCTATATGACATCCAAGAAGTCAATCCAAAGACAGTTATCAATTCAATGTTTATATTTATAACAAAAAGAGACGGTACACATAAATGCAGATTTGTTGCTCAAGGTGACCAACAAAAACCTGGTACTTACTATGATAGTCTAGCCGCTAACACAATACACCATGAAGCTCTAATGACATGTATGGCTATTGCACTAGACAACGATATGTTCATTGTTCAACTAGATATATCATCCGCTTATCTTTATGCTGATCTGAAAGAAGAACTTTACATTAGGACACCTCCTCACTTGGGACATAAGAACAAAGTTTTCAAACTACAGAAATCACTCTATGGTTTAAAACAGAGTGGTGCTAACTGGTATGAAAACATCAAAAATTATATAACTGAAACATGTGGTATGTCTAGTATAAGAGGGTGGTCATGTGCCTTTAAGAAAGATGATTTAATGGTATGCTTATTTGTTGATAATATAATTATGTTTGGTAAGGACCATAATGAATGAATGAAATTGGTACAACTATTGAAAGACCCATACGATAATAAGATTCCCTTTGAGAGTAACAAAGCGGACGATTCGTTAGACACTTCACTACACAACAATAATTCAGATGATACCTCTACGAAGCTTCCATAAGATAAATATTTGAACAATTCTTTTAAAGGAATCAACAGTTCTCCTGTATACGGTTCGAGCAATACTCCTTATTATTCGTCATATGCGTTGATTTCCCACCCATACCCAAATGGTTGGTCTCCATATGGTAACCATTTTACACCACCAATCTACCCTAATTACTTTGCCCCAAATAACGCAGGTATACATGCCGGATTGCAATTTCCTATCCCACCTTCGATTCCTAGTGACTATTACCATCACAATCCTCCAATTACTTCAACTCAAGCACCTCCAAGCACCTCTGCTACGGATTCAAACTCTCCAACCCAATATGCTCCAGTAATTTCAAAACCAAAGGACATGATTATGCTAACCAGAGCTACGTCGGCTCATAATTTTGACAGATGGATTACTGACTTTGTTAAATTCCTAAAGCAAAACAAGTTAGAAGACTTAGTCCCAGACAAATACGGATCTGCTAAACGTACCCCAAACAATGTTGATAAAGCCTTTATCTTAAACACAATTAATATGTATGTGCCAGAAAATTCGTATCCTGACTGGATGAAGAGCTCAATCTCTAAGAGAACCAACCTCCTTACTCTAATTCTGCATGCCGTTGGAGCTGTTGCAAATAATGACCCTGAAGAAGAATTACTCAACGAATTACATAACATTACATTCGATGGCTCTAATGCTGCCTTTATCTTCGCGGCCAAGATCCGTTCTCTTTTCGAGAATTGTAAAACTTCTAAAACTGACATTTCCGAATCACTAGTATGCAAGTTCATTATGAAAGGTTTGAGAGGAACATATCAGACGCTGAACGCTAGATATTCCCTGGACGGTATCAAAATTACGTTGGAATTACTTCTACGTGATATTCAGATCCAATACGACATAGAAAAAAACGGAATAAATCTTCTGATCCAAGGAACAAACCTACACCGAATACTGCGGTCAAACCTGTAGCTACTAATGTGAAAAACAATTCAATTGCTAAAGTGACTAATGCTAAGTCAGCATCCAAGAAGTCCACTAAGCAAACTTCACATAAAGCTAACAACATCACACCAGGTCTAGTAGAGCTGGATGCAGATGACAACACCCTTAGGCTCGCCTAATCAGGTCGATGACAATTTTGATCTCCCTGGTTACCTATGATTAGATTCTGGAGCTTCAACATCCATAATTCGACACTCATCCTTGCTTCATTTTCCACAACAACCTATCCATATAAGAGTGCAAGATGCGCAGGATAATTCAATACCTATATCTTCCACGGGAATTCTAAAATTCCATTTCGATAATGGTCCCCAAGTGAAGATATCGGCTGCTGCTTCTCCTAACATTTATTATGATCTTATTAGTCTCGATGAACTTGACAATGCTGGCATCTATGCTGACTGATCCACACGTTCGCTTCGTGACAAGAATAATAATGTCATAGCTACTATTGTTAAACATGGACCCTTTTATTGGCTCTCCACGAAGTAATTGATGTTACCTGCTCGCAGTAGGCATCATCAAATCAACAACATTCTACCTCGTTTTTCCTTTGAATTCATTCATCGACTATTTGGTCATGTTAATATCAAAATCATTAAGGATTCTATCCGTAAAGGACTTATCAAGAACATATCTTATGACAACATTGACTGGTCAGGTTTTGAAACTTTTCAATTTCCTGATTGTCTCAAAGGTAAAAGTACACAACACAAACACTATGTTGGATCATGTGTTAAATATCAACGTGAATACAACACATTCGAATTTCTCCACACTGATCTCTTTGCTCCAGTACCCAATATGCCAACATCTTCACCTACTTATTTCATCTCGTTTACCGATGAACGATCAAAGTTTAGATGGGATTTTCCATTACGTTCTAAAGATGCAGCCATCGTTACTACTGTTTTCCGTAACATTGTGGCTTTCATCAGCACACAGTTTGACACTAAAGTACTTGGATTCCAAATGGATCGCGGTTCAGAATTCTCAAATGCTGAAATACGTCATTTCTTCCGTGAAAATGGTATTCAATCATGCTATACCTCTGTTGGCGATTCTCGTGCTCATGGCGTTGCAGAAAGACTAAACCGACCTTTTCTAGATGATTGTCGCACTCTATTAGAAAGTAGTGGTCTCTCTTCTCACCTATGGTTCTATTCCGTTGAATTTGCTAACTTAATCCAAAATGCACTATTGAATACGAAATATAAAACCTCTGCTCGTGCTCGTGCTGGTCTTGCTGGCCTCGACGCAAGTACCATTCTTCCATTTGGATAAACCGTCATTACTCATGGTACCAATCCTATTAATAAGTTACACGTTCGTGGTGATCATGGATATGCTCTAACTCCTTCGAAGGAATCCCATGGTTATCTAATCTATACCCCTCGTCTTCATAAGGTACTCGATACTTCTAACTATGTGGTGATTAGGTCTGATACTCATATATATGCTGATCATGACTATGACTCTACTATGTTCGACCCATTATTACAGTCCATCACTCGTCCATAGGACAAATTCATAGAAGATAAATTTGCTCCTGCCCTTACTGATGATATAAACGATTCATATTCCGATGAATCAACCTCGGCACCGACTTCAGAACGTGACATCTCAGACAACCCATTTTTCGATAGCGACATCAATTCTTCCCTATCTTATAGCATACAAATACAAGGTTCATCATCTGGTACTGTTACAAATCCGGATTCTGTTGACAAATTATCCTTGACTTCTGATACACCTTCGAATAATTCACATATTGCGACCTCTGACATTACTACAGATACTGATTCAGATTCTAATGAAGACTCGGATAACCCTCTTTCCTTTTATCATTCAGGATTCAATCAACCAATATCTTCCGGTACATATGATGAAGACATATCTCCTGACATAATTCCAATAGCATATGATATTGTCAGATATTATAGAGCTTTTAAGCTTTGATATTAGTGGATATACGTTAAATAGGCACAGTGACCTATTACCCAGATCTGTGAGTAGTAACTCACACACACCCCTCCTGTTTCAAAATAGTCTATAAAACATAAATACTTTTATATATTGTAACTGAAAATTTATTCCTTTTATATACAGAAGAAATTACTTTGATACTCGACATCGCCATCGGCGATCGATCAAAGCAATTAACAGACCATTTCCCGACATTATCGGCATATTAGTAATCTTCGGTTGAATATTGTTAGGGTAACAAATAATGCATCACGTGACAACAATATTCTGTGAACCTATAGAAGTATTCTCTATAGTTAGGGTTATAACAGGAATTAATACATACACCTTGTATAAAATACAATCGATAGTGACCTAGGCTTTATCCTGGATACTCTAGGATAAGGTAACAACATATTGCCCTTTTATGCCATGACTATTCATTAAATTCGAACAAATACTCGAAAACACATGATAATATGCCTTTAATATAAAAAACTCACATGACCAATGTCAGCAATTACTTCAAAATAATCTTGTATAAAATCATCAACTTGACTAAATCTGATCTCAAATCAATACTATAGTTAATACAATAAATGCTAATAAATTTTTGATTTAACTTTCAGTTCCTCTTATGAATAAATCGTGACTGCTCCAGCTTCAAAATGTTGAAACCTAAAATGTATGGTTTACACTAATAGGTTTCAAGGTTATTCATATCACGTGACCAATGATATAATGTAAAGGTTATGGCAGTAAAGGTTATGACAGTAAAGGTTATTATAAATTTCAATTGATCGATCGCCAGTGTCATAGTCGACCTTCTAAGTAATTTCTAAATCGTATCATAAGAAGTGAAGTGCAAAGGCGTCATTATTTATTATGATAAATTAATAATATAAGATTATGAGATTGGATCTAAACATATAAAAAGGCATGACATTTTGGTACATCTAAAATATTGTTCATCTAAAATATCAATATATATTTATTTAGTTACATTTATAAGACACTACGGAGAAATAAATATAAATATTATATTAAAAACATCTTGTATCAATCACCAAAATGAATCAATCAGATATTACTTTTACATCTGAACACAAAAATAACTGGCAAGTAACATTTAATTATTAAACTTAGAACACTCTCATTTATATCAATTGTTTGGTTATATCTATAAAATTTTAAAGCGTATTTAAAAAGAAAATATTTACAGTAATGTGATATATAAATATTTCTCTATTAAAGTTTTTTTTTTTTGTTGTGGTTACTTCTGAGGCAAAAAACTTTTTAAATTAAAAATTAGTTCCTTAAAAAGAATTTTTATAAACCAATATTAATAGATTAAGATGAAATCAATTTAAATCAAGTTATAACTATAAATAAATATATATACTGGTTAAAAATCCTATCAAAAGCTTTGAATTCAATAATAATATAACTAGTGCAACAAATATAACCGAAACAGGTAAAAGTCAGAATATATAGAGCTTATAAGCATTGTAATTGGCAGATATACGTTAAATAGACACATTGTCCCATTACAGAGGATAGACGGGTTGTAACTCACTCTCCCTCTTGTAACAGAGTAGTGTATATAACATAAATAGTCTTATATATATTGTAACTGAAAATTAGTTCCTCTCAGATACAGAAGAAATAGAAACATACACATTGTACGAAAAACAAGTAATAGTGACAAAACATTTATCCTAGAGTATCTAGGTTAAGGTCACAAGTAAAGTCACAACGACCTCCAAGAATTTTACTAATTTTTTTTATAGTTGCAATTGTAAAAATTTAAATAGGAGCTAGAGCTCAAAAACATTATAGTATAAATGTACTTTCTAGTTATGATGAACAATAGTTCTTGATAAATGCAATACTGAAGATTATTATATTGTTAATAAGCTTAATTGTTCCTCTCTAATTGGAACTTTGAACTATTATACAGAAATCTACTATATGCTCTTTATGTAATACGAGACATCTCCTTGAGTCGGTTGTAACCAACTAACAAACTATTAGAGTGTCCTCACTAAATATTAAAATACCTTCACTCTCTTCCGCCTGAAGAGACATTCCGTCTATCTGTTGATATGTCGCTAGCACTAGCACGCCAAAATGCCCTCCTTTTCCGCATTCGAACAACGATCTTATCCCTATAATACAACACATTCTCTTCTAATCGAAACCTCGATCTGCTGGTCATCAAAAGTTTTAACTTCTTCTCAAATTTTTTGAGCACAGCCTAGTCTACTTTTGCTATCTTAGTATTATCATAAATACCCAGATGTGCAAGGGCATCTGAGCTTAGATGATCTTCCTGCCAGTCCCAATATCAGCTCTTCAGATCAACTTGCCCAACCTCCTCGATCATAGATATCGTTTTTACTAATGTCTGTGTGCTCTCTATAGGCTCACAAGCCATACGAGAGAGTGAATCAGCTACTACGTTCTGAGGTCCTGGTTAGTATTGTAGCTCGAGGTCAAAATCGACCAATACATCAGGCCATCTATGTATTCTGGGTTCAGATTCTGTATCTCTGTCCAGAGATAAAAAGGCTGATATGATCCGTCCTCAATATAAGATGATGTCCATTTAATTGGCACTTAAAATGATCTAGTGCTTCGGTTATTCCTAGTAATTCTAATTCGCCTGCACGACAATTCCTTTGAACTCCTTCAAGTGCCTGAGAATAATAACCCACTGCTCCAATTTCCTTATTCTTCTCATCAATCTCTTCCAAAACTGCTCTTACACCGTTATTCGATGCATCTGTTGTCAACCGATACCTGTTTTCCTCTTTGAAAGCGACGAGTACTGGTTTCGATGTCACTGATCGTTTCAACTCCTGGAACGCTTCCTCCTGCTCCTGCTCCCATGGGGAAGTCTTTGTTATAATCTCTTGCATATGCTTAGCTATACTCGAACAATCCTTAATGAATCTCCGATAATGATTGATCATTCCTAAGAATCTTTGAGCCTCCTTGACATTTGTAAGTGTCGGAAATTTATTGATCAACTCGCATTTTCCTTGTAATGACCTAATCTAATTTTCACTTATGTAATATACAATATATTCAACTTCTTAAGCGGCAAAATGACATTTCTTCTTCTTCGAAATTAGTCCTTCCTCATTTAACCTTTTTAATACCCTATCCAAATGATTCCAATGTTCTGTTAAAGTTGTAGAATGGATCAGGATATCTTCTAGGTAATCGTTCACCTAACTCAGATCTCTAAACAAGTCAGCCATATAACTTGAGAATGTGCTAGGTGCGTTAACGAATCCAAATTGCATAACCTTGTATTCGTATTTCCCACTTGGAGTTACGAAAGCTGTTTTATACTGATCCTTTTGTTTTATTGGTATTTGATGATACCCACTATGAAGGTATAAAGTTGTGAAAACCTTTGAGTTGCCAATCTTTGCTAAATATTGCTCGATCCTCGGGAATGGAAAATGATCCTTAACGGTAACCTTATCCAACTTCCTGTAATCCACATATAATCGATGAGTACCGTCCTTTTTCTTAACCATAAGGATATGTAAACTAAATGGAGATTTCTAAAGTTCAATAAACTCCTTCTGTATCAAATCATCGATAATTGCATTTACTTCTCGTTCCATTTTTGGAGTTATTCTGTACGGTTGCGAGTGTGGCATTCTCTGTCCAGGACTCAACTCGATTTCATGTTCACACCTGTTTCTTGCCATTCCGACGTGATAATGTTTCTGAAACGGTATCGTTATACTTCATACTTAACCACTCTGGTACATCTTCAAAACTATTTCCCCCATTCGTTGGTGCCATTGTCCAAATAACATAAATCTCCTCGTCTTCGTCAATATCCTCATGTTCAGCGACAATGCTGTAAATCGATTCGACTCGTTTATGTTCACTCGTAAGATTCAAGAACTGTGGAAATTTTCCTCAAAATAGGAAATCCTAGAATCAACTCCTTATCTAGAGCACTCGTCACATATACAGGAATTCTATGATTGTTGCCATCGATCTCAATATCGATCTCAGTCGCCTCCTGCGACCTCGCAGTGTCTCCAGAGATTACTCCCCTAAACTTAAGAACTGGCGCCCTACACCTTGCCAGGCCTAGCCTATCTGCAAGCTCCGTGTCACTAAATGACGTAGGTGACACACTGTCAAATAAGGTCTCTACCTTATCGCCCTTTATGTTCAACTGCACCTTGGCTACATCGCCAACTTCTGGTGATGTAACCTCCACAACAATCGGACAAAGCAACTCACATGATTCCTTACTCGGAATATTCCTTCTCTGCTCACGTTCAGACAACGTCTGTGATGCAAACTCTTCGTGCCCCCTTTGGTCTGAACCCTGTGGACCTCCTGTCCTTCTCTTATTGACTTCACCTCCTACCGTGTCACGAGACTCTGGGTTCCCTCCTAGACCACTATCCTGACTATATACTTCACTGATGGCGAGAACTCGCATTGACCTTGGCCTTGGCCTCAGTAGCTTTAAGCTTGCACTCTTTGGCATAATGCCCTTCTCTCCCACAGTTGTAACATCTTAGAACTCCATTCCACTTACTACGATGACTCTTCGCATTCTTGTGGCCTCCATTCTTCTGTTGTCCTGTTTTCTTGGAACCGTTGGTTGACTTCAAACTTGTTTTTGTAGGTGGTAACACCATCTCTGAATGTTCAATCATGCTAATTGCTTCTGCTAGCGTTTCGATCTTATGTCTGTACAGAACTGACTTAGAGATATGTGACAAACCGTTCATAAAGATTGCTAGTGTCAGCAAACAACGTTGTGAGTTTGGGTCTAACACCTTTGAGTACTTTGCAAACATTGCAGCATATTCTTCCGAACCTAGTTTTTCCTCCTTCAGGTCCACTAGCTTCTTATAGATGTCTAATGTGACCGTGAGATCATTACCACAGAATTGTTTTCTCAGTTGGCTCTCAAACTGTTCGAATGTCATTTCATAAATTTTCGGAAAATAGTTCAGGTACCATATTCTTGCATCACCTATCAGATGACTTCCAGTGTGTAAAATCTTATCCTCGTCGGTGATTAGCTTCCTTGTTAAGAAATGTACACGCATGGTGTTGCCAAACAGTATCAACGTCGATAGATCATTCTCCCCACTGTAATACAATCTGGATACCGGAATATTAGATCTCCTTAAAGCTACTAAAATGTCCTCTGGCACCTCGTTTAAGACTTCTTCCTCGGTGTCGAATAACATGATAATACCTTGGTTAACTTTTGAATATAATAATAAATCCACTACGAATTAACCTTTGTAATAGCTTGTGACCTTTGCGCTACTAAGTATTGTATATATGTGCTTATTAGTTATTATGAGAACTGTTAGTAAATACGAAACTAAAGACTTGATTATTTATTAATTAACTTAATTGTTCCTTTCTAAATGGAACCTCGATCAACCATACAATTAGCTAATCTTTGCTCTTTATATAATTTTAACCATTGTCTTGAGTGAGTTGCAACCGACCAAAATTATGAAACCTAAATGTTTCATCTTGTCAACCCTATTAACCCTGATCATAAACAATACCCTACAAATCCTAACAAACTATTAGGTTGTCTTCACAAAATAGTCGAAAAAACATCATATAACCAAGCTCGTATGGCGCAGTGGTAGCGCAGCAGATTGCAAATCTGTTGGTCCTTAGTTCGATCCTGAGTGCGAGCTTGTTTTTTTTTTCAATCCTCAAGGTGTTCATTAATTCTGAATTCAATTTGAGAGTTACTGTTGACTGTCTTGCATATCCACCATAATATATTGAAGAAGTTTATAAATGAAAATTATTACAGACTCTTACACAGGGTTTTATAAAATCAAATTAATATATATGTATGTATCAATTCTAATAATGATTTAATCTCCAGAGTCTAACTTTACCCTGTTCATTACCTACTGCCAACATTTCACTACGTGGTGAAAATGCTACACTGGTGACCTTACCTAATGGGGTACCACTTGTTGGCCAGTTTTGGAATACAGTGCAAGTTGGTAAATGAATCAGTCTTAAACCGTCCTTTACAGCTCTTGATGCAATACATAATAGCTGTCCGTCAACAGAGAATTGCAACGAGGAAATTGTTGTGGTCAATTGATCCAAAACTGCTATTGGTTTTGGAGTAGCATTAGTGTCTTTTACTCTATCATAGACATTAACATAACCACTTTCACTACCAATTGCTAGCCACCTATTAGACTTCACTTTATTTGAACTGACTGGGAAGAAATTAGAAGAGTTTGTTCCGCCACCAACTTCAATCTTTGTAATACCCACACCACCTTCATCTTTCCATTTACGAATAACTTTACCATCCTTATTTAAATCAAATTCCCAAATATCACCATAGGTGTTAACTGCTATTAAGATGGTTTGAAACTTGTTTCCAGCCATTGGTCTATAATCAATGCAGAAGTCAATCAACACACCTTCGATCTTACAACCCAGTATCCATACACCTGTTGTCGCATTTAAAATATTTATCCAGCCATTATTACCTTGCAATAAGACAATACCATGAACACTATTTGAAGAATGATTATAGAAATGTGCTAATTTGAATTTTTCAAATGATCTTTGGGTGTCTTCATGTCCATACAATCTTGATATTTTATCAATTTTAGCTGTTGCTTGACTATTTGATTGTGATTGAACTAAAGATTTTGTCAAATCCCATGAATGCATATAACGTCTTCTACCACCAGTAAATATTTTTTGTTCTTGTTTCACAAAATTGTTCGATTGACTTGGTGCAACGTAAAATGTACATGTTTGAACTGGCGTACCTTTCAAGTATAAACTTGTGACCAAGTGGTTGTGTTTACCATCAACATGATATATTCTCAAAGTTCTATCATAACCACCAGTAAGCAAAAGTGGCTTAAACGGATGGAAGGATAATGATTGTATAGCTGATTTAGAAGGATGTGAAATATTTGCATCCTTTAAACGTAAGATATCCAACTGCTTTGATGGCAATAGTTTGGAGTTTGTATGGTCTTTATATTGGTACGTAGTTGATAAAATTTTTGTCAATGCATTGATATCACCATCAGTCACACCTTCTAAATCTTCATTATCACTATCATCACTATTTTCATTTTCACCACTGGATTCTTGATCAACCCAGTCAGGTTTTGGATAAAGTTTTTCAAATTGGGCTCTAAGACGGCGAATATATTCATTACCATTAACTTTTGTTTGTTGATAAGAAGTTCTTAATTTCTTTGACCTATTTGAGGTAGTTATAGATACATTCAACTTCTCATCATCTGAATCGGACCAACAGTTTTCGTCGTTGTCTTCATCATCATTTTCACTTTCACCTTCACTATCATCGAGATCCATTTTATCAGAAGTTTCATCGAATTTATTGGATTCTTCATTTGTTTCACCATCATCAATAAAAAATAATTGATCGTCATTGATATTATTCATATCATTGTGCATGTTTTCATCTTCACTTTCTGAAGCAAATTCTTTTGCTTCAAAATCATCTAATTCTTCTTCTCTCTCATTCAATAAGAAATTTAGATCAAAATTTGACAAATTAGATTGGAAACCAGAGGAGTCACCAAAAACAATAGATGCTAACTCTAATTCCTCTTTATCAGGAGGTGGAATATCATACTGAACCGCATCAGAAACAATAGTCGAATTACCTTTTGCCATTTTAATGTCTAAGTATCTTTCCTTCTGTTCTCGTCTTAGTACAATTCAATATAGAAATATTCTATACTTTTGGTAGAAATATACAAATAAGTAGAACTTAACCCAACTAACTCTACTGCAACCTAGTAACAAATATTACAATCGGTTACCTCTCTTAAGCTGTTAATATTAACAATTGATAAACTGTTATATTTTAATCAAATGAGATGAGATGAGATGAGATGAGCTCTTAACATTTTTCATTAAAATTTTCATGTTGAAAAATTACTTCTCCGGCGTGTTCTTAAAGAAATGAAAGTTAAATGTATTATCAGTTATATCAGTACATACAAGAACTATTAATAGTTACTAGGCAATGGTGGAATAGTATATGAATAAGGGATTAAGTTTTATGTATATGATAGGTTTATATTTTTATAATTGTATATATCGATTTCAGATATTATAGTTAAGACACTGTTGATATATCTTGTCAACTCAAAGTATGAAATTTATTTCAGGCGTGACAGGATTATATCCCGTTTAAAATCTTATCAGATGTTCTGAAATCATGGGCCTTCTAAGTTACTTGTCGTAGTGTAGCAGTCATATATTCTTCGTCTCTATGATTACAAAGTCAAAAAAGATATAAGACATGCACACATATAAACATAGACATAGTTGTATGATTATTATTGTCTAAATTAAACCTAAATTCTTAGCGTGAAATTCAGCATGCATTGGAACAAATGTGCTTATGAAATAATATGAATGGTCAAATCCTTCAGCGATATTCATGTCAATTTTGTTTTCCCAAGTTGTCCCTTTTGAAGCTTCAACAATATTATCTGGTTTTAATTCTCTTTCCAAAAATGGATCGTTTGTGCCGACATGAATCAAAATCTTGTCATTGTTCTTAGATGGCACAACTTTCAACAATTGACAAGGATCATATTGCTCCCATTTCGATTTGTCATCACCCAAATAACCTTTAAAGGCTTTTTGACCCCATGGCACATTCATTGGATTAACAATTGGTGCAAATGCTGAACATGATTTATATTGATTCTTATCCAATGTTTTTAAATAACCGGAAATGGCACCAAATCCCCCCATTGAATGACCGGTGATTGCAATATTATCTAAGAAATCAATTTTTTTACCATCTTTGTTGAAGTGTTCACTTAAGCTCTTTGGCAATTCATTATGGACATAGTCAAACATATGATAGTTCTTGGAATATGGTTCTTCGGTAGCATTTACATAGAAACCAGCACCAATACCAAAATCCCAACTATTTTCAGGATCTGTAGCAACACCTTCACCTCTTGGAGATGTATCTGGGAAAACCATTACAAAACCATATTTATCAGCTTGAATTTGCCAGAAGGCCTTTTCTGAAGCATTCTGTGGTGAACATGTCAAACCTGATAAGTAATATATACTTGGGATTATTTTACTACTCTTCTGATAGAATTGTTTAGGAAGGTAGACGTTTACATCCATAGAAGTCTTGGTTGCGATAGATTCATGGGATAATTTAAGTAATCTACCTCCGCAGACAGCAATTTCTTGGTTTATTTTGAAGGTCATATTAGAGTTAACTCGATGTTTATTGGGATATAGAATTCAACATCAATCAAACTTCTAATAAGTACCAATTGTATTTAAAAGTTGAGTTATCGATTCAAAATATAACCTTTTAATTACTAATCGAAATCGTACCTAATTACAGCGCTATAAGGCTCAAAGTTATGTAGTACTAATTGGTAATTATTACCAGTACAAAATTATAAAATATTGCTGGAGGTAATCAATCAATATGTACATTTGTTGTATTCATTCTATTCAAATCATATAAAATTACATATTCTGTTCTTCGTCAGAGTTTTTTTCTTGTTTCTCATTAATTGTCTCAGAAGATTGCTCTTTTTCTGGAGTAGTTGTTTTATCAATACCTTGAGACCCATGTTCTTGAGCTGACAATGGTAACGAGTCATGGCTTTGTGCTGATAATGGCAACGATTCCTCTCCATCAGAATCATGTTGCTCTCCTGGTTGCTGTGAACTTTCAACTCCTTTTTCATTTTCATCTTCATCTTCATCGACATAAGGGAAGTCAATTGGATCAAATTTAGTTCTCAATTTATCTCTTAGGTTAGACTCCTGTGTAGTTGGGTTTCTTAGGGAAATATTAATTTGGTCCAAATTATGCTCTCTTACCAAAGGTCTTATCACGTCATTGACACGCCTACTTCTCAATTCTATTTTAGAACGTATTGGTTTATAGTATACTGCTTTCTTTTCATCGTTGAAGATAAGAGCCAAATCATTCAATTGAGTTTGTTGGCTTGGGCCCATATTTTCCATTGTTTGAATTTGTTTCATATCGAAATCTCTTAACCTCTTAAACTTATAGACTTTCTTTTCTAAACCATTAGAAGAATCATCAATCTTCTTTTCTAGCTCATTTGACAATATCTTAGAATCCTTTACATCAGTTGTATACATAGAAATCCAATCATCTTCTTCCAACTCTACCGGTCTGAAAATAGTAGTTTGTAAGGCTAATGTATTCTTTTCTTGCTTTGATAGAGTCGCACTACCAACTAATCTTAATGTAAAGTAATTTTGATCCATCGAAGAAGTATCTGGTAAAAGCTTCCAAGATTTGACAGCTTGTAACTTCTTCTTAATTGGATGCCTAAAGGACGATAAATCTTCTGAATTTTTTTCAAAAGTACCTTCGACTTTTTCTGAAATTTCATGAGAGTTCAAAATACGATCATCATCTTCATCATGAGAAGAGTCTCTAGTTCTTTTCTTATTCGAAGTCAAACTATCCGAATGAGAGGAAATCGAGGTAGATATATACTCAGTTCTTCTTAAAAATGAAACTTTTGATATATCTGTTTTAGTCAATCTATCAACACGAGGATCTCTTAATAAAATACGATCATCAGCATGCAATCTAACATTTTCGAATCCGTTTAAAAACTTTGTATCTGAGTTATTCAATAAACCAGGAATTTTGAATAAATCCAATGGCATACCCAATTCACTATCTAAATTGACTAATGAATTAACATTTGTCTTTGTATACAAAGAAGTAATCAATTGAGGTGAATCTGCATTTTCATTTTCATTGTCTTGAAACTTCAATAAGCTTGGTGGAAGCAAAGGAGGTGGAAGATTATTCTGGTAGCTAATCTTAGCAATATACTCTTGTTTCTTCGACATTATTTTTCTTATTATTACCTTTTGTCTTTCTTCTTGAATTCCAATTCCCACAAAAAAACAAGTATCTTCCTAAATTGTTACCAACAAAACCAACTCCAACAATACAGGAACTCTCTAGAGTCTTAGAAATACTCTTATATACTCTAAATTGTCTAAACAGATTGTATATTGTTTGATTAGACTGATGCTAAATTTTGTCATGAAGAAGCTTTTTATGTTTAAAATTGGAAAATTCAAAGGAATTTGAAAGAAAAAGACCATGTTACCCGAACTTATAATACTGGTTTCGAACAAGAGCAAACTGGTTTCAAGAAAAACAAAGTCAGATGACAAGAACAATAGAAAGAAAGTGATATATAAACCAGAAGATGATCCATTGAGTACAAAACCATACTTGCAATCAATTATACATATACTAATATGGTCTTATTGTAGCTCGAACGGAGAAATTACATTATGTATTACATAAATCAATGTTAATTAACACCTTAAGCAAAGCTCCATCTGATTGTTTGGTTAATAAGTCAATTATCTCCCACCCTACAATCCCTTGTCAACCCAGGTATACATAAATACATACATACACACCGATATATATCTGCATTCGATAGCCTACTTATAAGCATCCACTGTCAATATGCATCTCTGTTTTGTCAGTATTCACTGGTCATCTCAGTAACCTCACTTAGAGCTGGATATTTAAATTCGATATAGAAAAACACCTCAATATCATACGTTTAATAAATATCCATAAATAGAATTGATGAGATGGTTTGGGATATTACAAGGATAAGAAAGTAATATATATATATTGGTCAAGGGTGTTGGAAACTTATTGTTTATATTTGAACTAAAGCTAGTTGTGAAGGTTTGTCTTCTTCTTCTTCTCCTTCAACTTCTGTTTTTCTTTAGAATGTCATCTTCAACAGATAACCATTTTTGTTCAAAGAAACATACTAGTGATGATATAGATTTCGATATCGAACAAGAAGTGTTACTACAGATGAAGAGACAGAACTCTACAGGTGGTAAATATTATCCGGATCTCAATGATATCAATGGTGGCTTCTCGATGATTGGTGTTGAAGAGGCTTTAGATTTATTAAAAATATCAATTTCAACTCCTCTGCCAGATCACCAAATTCTATTTCCCTGGTTACACAGCTATTCAGATGGATTAATTGATAAGCCTAGGATAGATGGGTTACTCACTGTTGTGAGATCAAAAGTTAGTCCCGATGGCAACATTGAAAATTCTGGGATATTTCGTTCATCTACAGATCCAAAGGATTTTTTTGTTAATATCAACGATGTCTCCAATTTAATGGGTTCTGAAAATATAAGTAATACAATCAAAGATATTCTATTAGACTTATTGACTGTAGATGACAATAATTTTATCGAAGGTACTCAGATTAGCATGGACTGTTTACTTTCAACTTGTCTTCAATTGAACGTGATACCTTTTCTTAAATCAGACGCAACAATTCAATCATTTATTAGCAGCAATAAAAGAAATAGGGTGGGGGACTTCTCATCATCATCTGTTATTTGGAAGCAAACTCATTCCTTTAGAAGATTTGATTTACAATGTGCAAAGATGGTAGAAGCTTCTTCAAAGATTCTAATCTATTGTCTACATGCATCTAATGAACATAGATTTTGTTCAAATTGTACTACAATAATGATATTATTGAAAATATCATTAAATCATTTAAAAAAAATTTATAACAATGACTCTATCCATTTACCAAGTTTTTACATTTTAAAATATTCAAATATTGAAAATATTCCTACCGAACTCTTAGCCATACCACTTTTGCATAACAATAGCCCTTTAAAAGAAAATTCTGGACAATTAGTATCATATCTTGATGTATCTGCATTTAATTGTTGGGAAACCAATTTATTATACCATGAAAAATTAGAGATGTCTAAATTATCATCGGTTACAAATATCGACGACACCAAAGCTGTCTGGGCTGGTAATATTACAGATTACGATATATACGTTTTTACTAATGGATACACCAATATAAAATTTGATATTACAAAATTTGATGAAAAAGACTTAAAGACCACAGTAACTCTCCCGTCATTAACCTTTGATGAAGTAAATTATAATTTAAATGATTCCAAGCTATTTGGATTCCCATCGATAAGTAAAAAATGGACTCTATTTATTAAATGTGGTGAAAATAATATAATACCAACTTCTGATGATTTATGGTTATATTTAGAGGCAATTTTAAGAGGTAAAAAATCTACTGTTAATATCGAATTTCCAAGTTCAGGCTCCATAGGACTAGGGAATTTAAATATGAATTCGATCAATTCTATTTTAAACTTGTGCTATGTGATTCATCAGTTAGCGAAAAAGGATATCAGCACTTTTATCTATTGTACCGATGGATATACAGAAAATTCATTCATAATAGTGGCATATTTAATATTTGTGTGGGACTTACCAATTGAAAAGGTTTTATTAAAGCTTCATCTAGACTACGAGAGACCTTTTTTCCTATTCCATAGCGATCTCCAAGTGCTTGGTCACTTACAATCTATTTTAAGAGAATTTAGCCCTCAGAGAGAGCAAAATCAAAAAACTTATGAGGCATCATTTACTGAGAAGATACCAAGCCAATTAGAGATAAGTTCAGAAATGTTCAGTAAGATATTTTTTATTAAAGTACCTGCATCTTCTGATTTGACAAAATTTAAAGGTCCATTACCTTCAAAGATATTACCTCACCTTTATCTAGGTTCATTGGAACATACACACTCTCAAGAACTTTTACGTAATTTAGGAATCAACTACATCGTATCAGTAGGCGAAAATTTAAGTTGGATTGATGATCAAGAGAGTACTCAGCATAGGGCCAGAGGTTGCTCGTATCCAGTTAGAATTGATCTGAAAGATATTTACGATGTTCCATTAAGACCGACATTATTTAGAAGTTCTACCTCAACTTCATCTTTAGACCAACAGTTACCTATCTATAACGACACTAATAAAGAGATTGAATCTACTTGGTCAGAAGTAATAGAAAAGGATGGATTTAAAATATTAAGAGTGAATAATATTACTGATAATGGATCTGATACTTTATTACATCAATTCAGTCATATATTAGAATTTATTGATGACTGTTACAAAAATAATGGGAAGGTTTTAGTTCATTGTATGGTCGGTGTCTCTCGATCAGCTACTGTCTGTATTGCTGAGTGCATGAAAAGACTTAAATGTGATGTGATAAAAGCATATTTATTTGTTCGTGTTCGTAGATTGAACATTATAATTCAACCAAATTTAATGTTCATGTATGAATTACTACGATGGCAAGAATTACAAGAAGGTAGAAAAGACCACGAATGGCATATATTGTGTAGGTCAATTTATGAATTAAACAAGAAATATTTATAAGGTTTAAGAAATAAGCACTGGGAAAAACAAAGGGCATAATAGTCCCAAAACAAACAATAACATTTTGCATAATTTAATCAAAACATAAAACCATATTTTAATAGTTAAATAAATACTGATATGAACTCTATTTACATTTATTTAGAACAATCAAATAGTTAATCAATTTTTAAAAGTCTGTACATCTACCGTTAAATGAATAATCACCGTGTCTCAAAGGATCCTGCTTAGGACCACCTATTTCACCAGTCTTTGGATTAACGTCACCTTCAAATTCAGGAATAGTTTTTATAAAGTCTGGATGGAATGAACCAATATCATTCTTCGTCAGAATTTCAGAATTTAGACTTTCTTTAGTGGGATCCTTCGTAATCTTTTCATTATAGGCATCAATAGCTGCCTGAGACAAAGCTATCTTTTGTAACCTCTCAAACTCTTCTTGATCCTCCTTAGGAAGTTTAGGAGGACTAGGGTTCGAAGCTGTATTAAAACTTCTGCCTAAAGAATATCCTGAATTTTGAATATTCTTACCACTGACTCGACAGGTTTTAGAAACCAATAACTTATCGCTATACAAAAATTCACGACACACTAAACGTAACATAATCTACCTATATCCAACTGAAATATACCACTATCTGCTCCAAAAGTTAGCCACTCTTGTACCTGTTGCAAATGGTAAAGTTCTTATATCATCTCATCAGTTGCTGCTTTCTTTAAATATCAAAATGTCGATATCGCCTTTAAATTTAAAGAGATATGGTTGATTTAAAGACAAGATGGTTAAAATTAAGGTATTGTTGCAAAACTGAACTAAGTTTGGTTATAAGATGAGACTGGTAACGATTTATAGGCCCTGTGAACGTTTTGATTCTGCTGGTGATCTGGTTATTTTGACTTTAAAGGGGACTGGAGGATCTTTTCTACATTTTTGAGGTTTCAGTAAGTTTCTGATCTATTAGATGACTGGATGATTCACATAAGAAATTAAAGAATAATTGAGAATTTTGTTTTGTTTAATTGTTATTGTTTGAAAGCATTTTATTGATTTAGATTCAAGTATTGACATCTTTATTGTGAAATTATTTTTAATTATGGTTAATCATTCAAATATCAAGAAAACTTATGGATATTTTTGGATTTTTGGTTTTGTAAATAATGTCCTATATGTGGTTATATTATCAGCCGCTGTAGATATAGTTGGCCCAAGTTTACCGAAATCATTGGTACTATTGGCTGACATACTTCCATCCTTCTTAATTAAACTCACATCTCCATTTTTCATCCATAAGATAAAATATTCATATAGAGTGATTTCATTAATATTTATGAGTTTGATTGGAATGATTTTTGTTTCCAATTCTTCCCTTATGATTAGTTTACTAGGGATTACAATTGCATCTATATCTTCAGGTTTTGGTGAAGTAACTTTCCTTCAATTGACTAACTATTATAAGGAAGAAAGTTTGGACGGTTGGTCTTCAGGTACAGGAGGTGCAGGTTTAATCGGTAGTGGGATTTATATGTTACTAACTTCTATTCTGCATTTTCCTGTAAGAATTTCATTATTATTATTTAGTGTGTTGCCAATAAGTTTCTTATTATATTTTCAATTAACAGAGGCTGAAATTACTTATACACCTATTTATCAAAATCAAGAGAGCGGGTCTGCATCTTCTTTACACCATATCCAGCCTGTCACAGAGACAGAATTTATGGCCGTTGCTGAAACCCATGATAGTGATGTATTAAAAGCTTTGTTGGATTCTTCATCATTTATACAATTAAAGGAGCATGTCAGGAATATATTCAATAAATTGCATGCTTTGTTCATTCCTTACATGTTACCTTTAACGTCAGTATATTTATTTGAATATTTGATTAATCAGGCAGTTTCGCCAACGCTATTATTCCCAATAGATGATGAACATAAATTCCCTCTATTTCATAAATATCGTGACATATATGTCACTTACGGTTCTATTTACCAATTAGGCGTATTTATTTCAAGATCAACATCCAGTTATATTAGACTAAAGAACTTGTGGTTACTGGCGATATTGCAATCGATTAATTTTATACTAGTAATCCTACAATCATGGTATTTTTTCATTAAATCACCAATCCCAATATTCATTTTGATATTATATGAAGGTTTACTTGGTGGTGCATCTTATGTAAATACATTTTTAAACATTTTAGAAGATGTGGATGATGACAATAAGGAATTCGCATTGGGTGCAGTATCAATAGCCGACTCATTGGGAATATTAATTGCAGCTCTAATAGGATTAAATTTGGAGCCAACTTTATGCAAGCATCAAATCAGAGACAATAGACCTTGGTGTGAAATGCAATAGTTTATATGATTACGTATTCGTACAATAGGTTATATATATACATACATGAAAATACTCATCATATACTCATTCTAATACCTGTTAGAAGCTCTTCAATGATTTTCTGACCTTTATCAGTGCCTTGAATTGTGCTTAAAACACCAAAACATTGTAATAATGTCAATTTATCATGATCTGTAACACCATTTTCTGCTTCTTCGTTATAGATATATTTCTGAAAACTTTTACTGATCCCGTTGTTAGTTTGACTGAAATTTTGATAATATGGCAGTACAATACAATCTCTAAAACACTTTAAAAGAATATGATCTACTGATAAAAAATATCCAGAATCTGAATACATTTGCGATGACCAATACTTTCGATTAGTTTTAAAACTTTTTTCTAAAGGTAATAAAACCGACATCACATCATAGTAAACCTGTTCATAAAACACTTGCCATATAACACCAATTCTCTTCAGTAATGTATTCATAGTATTTTCATTAGAATAATTGAAAATAATTTGATTCTCTAAGATGTATAGCGAAGTTGAGATAAAATCCTCGACTTCATTTAGAAATGTACTATGGGGAGAAGCCACTTTAGAATCGGTTTTCAGGAAAGCATAGAACTCCAAAACCCTATTAATATCTTCAATTTTTGCTGGTAACTGCCATATTCTTTTATTTTTAAATAATTCGACAATAACATTGCAATAAACACCCCAAACGTTACCAGATAAAATCGTTAATTCTGGAATACTGAAATTTTTATAATTGGCCTCTAATGATGGCAAATTCTTCAATAAATCATGTAACATTACTGTATTATTTGCTGATATATTTTCATCATCGTTTAATAAAATATTTTCAGGTACATTATTGGTACCTGAGGGACTAAAAGAATATACCGATCTGGCTGAATCAACTACTGCATTGGAGTAATGAATAAATTGTGATTGAGTTCTATGCCTTAGATATGAAGGATGCAAAAATTTCTTAATTGAAGTTGGAATTGCAGGTTCTACTGCTATATCGCCATCATGTCTATTCTGTTTCCTATGGAATAATTTTCTTGCAACTTTTGATAGAGTATTTGATTTATTAGAGAGTACTGAATGCGAATGACTTGTAGCACTCTTATTACTAGTTACAGTAGTTAATTTAGCAGATTTATCACTGTTGCTTATCACGTCTTTAGATCTTGAGAATAATCTTGAGTGTCTTCCGCCCTTTAAACTTGATACCGATGTATGTATGCTATTTGAAGAATTATTATCAATCGACCTTCTTGCCTCACTCAAAGAATGATCAAAACCAATATCACTACTTTCAGAAGTCCTCAAGGGTCGATCTGTATCTGACTCATTAGATAACAAACTTTGCTTTGACCTTCGATGGTCCCCACTTTGAAAGATAGATTGAAACCCAACATGCGACAGACTAGGTGGTCGACTCAACGAAGATCGTACAGTCCTAGAACCTGCATCTTCAAGCTGTTCCTCCAAAGTTTGTGGTATAATATCAGATGAAACACTGTGAAATCTACCTCTTGCAGCATTGTGAGATATTCCACCATTACTATTGTTATTATTATGAGTTGATTCGGTAACCACTGTAGCACTTCTTCTTCTCCTAATAAGACTTGGAGACATTATTCAAATATAACAAAAACGAAATGAATATATACCTGATACCCACGATACATCTACCAGCTACACTTGGCCCACTATTACTCATCTTTGGACAATAAGACTTCTAAACATATTCTTAACCTATTTAAAAACACCATCATCGTTAAATTAAGTTTGGCTTTATTACTCAATTCAAATATATTAAATTATTTTCTTAAGAAGTCCCCGTAGCACTAAATAAATATTGGTTTTGGTATAAAGAGAGAGATGTTAAACTATAAAGGACCTAACTAATATTATAGATGTGGTAGATTAAGATACTTAAGATACAATCGCCATCGTTGGTTGAGTCTGCTGTTCCTGTTTGTATTATAATGTGGGAAGAACAGTGTAAGCCATGAATGACAACGAAATCTATTAGGTGGGAATTGAATCTTAAGGTGAAATAATGCTTGTGATGAAATTGAAGTAATCGGAGAAGAAGATGTGAACAGATATGAATAATAGCGATGTAATGATGAGGTATTGATTTTTTATCGAAATGTTAATTGAAATACCCAGAAAGAATAATGATATTAATGATGATACAGAACCTGGTTCGGAGTATCGAACGTTGAATATTGATAATGATAGACATAATGCAAATGATGAGACCTTAGTAAGAAGTTTCTGAGATTGGATTAATGTTCTCGGAAAAGATCTATTGGTTATAGCTCTTGCAGTTGCGTTTATTTTATAATTTATAGTAATCTTTTGCCTTGAAGGTTCTAATTCTTTTGTCCCCAGAATATTAGTAATATTGGCAAAATCGTCGATGTTTTCGTTATTACTTATAGTAGAGACGTCACTTAAATGCTTATCTTCAACGCTATTAGAGTTTGTTTGGTAAGTTTTAGGATTTTGGTATTTTGGGTTACCTATCTCGTTTAATAATTCATCAACCTCTGCAGCTACAGGTCTATCTGCTGGGTCAAATGACAATAATTTGATTAATAAACCAAATAATCTCTTATCAATTGGTTTTAGATTCATCGACTGATGTTTTTCAACCAATATATCCACGTTGAATTGCATCTTTTTAATCTTGTTCTTTAATTCAACGATTTCAAGTTCGGACTCAAATGGTAAACTACCAAATATAATAAAGTACATTATCATACCAAGCGAATATATATCCGATGCAAATGTGTACTCGTTATATTGAGTAGATTTTGAAATAAATTCATTAAGCTCACCTGGTATAACAACTTCAGGTGCAGTGAACTCTAAAGTACCAGTTGCCCCAGTTGCTGTTCTATATTCACCACTAACTTGACTTTCACCTAAATCTCCAATAACCACTGTTGGAAATCCATCACTTATTATATCATCAGATTTGGTAGATGTCTGTTCAAGATTATATGGATGTAACAATAAACAATTAGAAGGCTTTAAGTCTCTGTGAATCAATCCTATATCGTGCAACTCTTTTAACCCATTTCCGATATTTCTTACAATAGATGTTATTTGATTTGTACTTAAACCCAAAGGTTCATTGTCCTTTTTTGCCCTCTTCCTCTTGAAAGATCTCTTACGTTCCTCAATCGAGTCCAATTCAGGAAACTTTTTGAATACATTTCTAAGAATGACATCCTCAAGGTTTCCACCACTACAGTACTGTTGTAATATGAATATACAGGGGATATTTTCCAGCACCTTATCGGTACTGCCATTGACACCTCTAACCAATCCACACGATGAATCCATCTCTAACCAAACATGATTATAAGTAATCAAATTAATACTTTCATGAGTCAGAGAACTCAAAGCTTTAACTTCCCTTATACATTTTTCAAACCAAGGCATATCATTACCAATTGGAATCTTCTTCAATGCAAATACACCCAACTCTATATCACCCATTTTGTGAACTACCTTAAATACAGAACCTCTTGCACCTGTACCCAATAGTGAAAGTGTTCTAAAGAACTTATGAAAATAGCCTGGTATGAAAAGATCTTGCGGTATGAAATATTCAGAAGTTATACCATTAACTTCATGCACCGATGAAATTGAAGGAACTCCAGTTAGAGCAAACCTTCTATGACCATGTTCCAACAATTTAAAATATTTCTTAGTTAAACTAAATTCTGAAACAACAGGAGGGAAATTTCTATCCTCATTAATGCCATTTTTATCATTGACATTTTCAATATTTACAGTTGGGTCTATCTCTGTACCGCATTCAGG